AGGGTGCCCCGCTGGAGGTGAGGTGCGGGGTTGCCCCGCCGGTGGTACCGGGGTGCCCCGCCGTTGATGCAGGGGTGCCCCACCAGTGGTGCTGGGGTACCCCGTCGGTGGTTCGGGGGTGCCTCGTCGATGGCGCGGGGGTGCCCCATCGATGACGGGATGGTGGCGCGATGGTGAGATCGATAGTGAGATCGACAGTGAGATCGATTGTGAGGTCGATTGTGAGGCTGACTGAGAAATCGACAGCGGGATCGATAGTCAAATCGGTTTGCAGATCGATGGTGGGATCGATTGTGAGATCGATATCGAGAGCGACGTTGGTCCTCCGCCCCCAAACCTCCTTATCAGTAAGGGCCTCGCCCCCTGCCGCCGGCTCCCCTCTCTCAGAATGGGACGTGACACAGCTGTGTTGCGATGTCTGGACTCTGACGTGAAGCGATGTGGGGACTTCACAAACTGCGGAATCTCTCACAACTACATATATTGCGGAAGTGTCGAGGATTTTGGCTTCGGGGGCGCGAAAATTGCTTAGTTTACAAGGGTTTATGGCTTCGGGGACGCGACTGTTGCATAGTGTACGAGGGTTGATGGCCTCGAGGACGCAATTATTCCGTACTTCACTTGATTGCATGGTTTTGGGGATGCGAGCATTGTATTCTTTATTAGGGCTTATGGCTTCGAAGACGCGACAAGTGTGTAATGTATTCTGATTGATGGCCTCGGGGACGCGAATACGGTGTAATGTACGAAAGTTTATGGCGTCGTGGATGCAAACATCGTTCATTCACGAGGGTTTATGGCTTCGGGGACGCACCTATTTCGACACGTACGAAGGAATATGGCTTCGGGGACGCGAATCTGGTGTAATTTATGAGGGTGTATGGCCTCAGGGACGCGAGCATCGCGTAACTTACTAGGGGTTATGGCCTCGGGGATGCGAATCTCAATTATCTTCACGTGTCCCACGGCCCCCCAGGGATTCTGAAAACCCTCCAGGGGCGTGGTACAAAAATACCGTTTGGGGCTCCCACCCTTCGCGCGGACAGCAACAGCCAACAGCAAGGCAGCAGTAAGCAGGACTGCCACGGTGGAGACTGGAGAAGCCGCAGCTGGAACAGGGAGCTGCAGTCTCTTCACTCTCGCAGCCTGGTGGCCCCGCAAGTGGGCCGGCGGATCGCCCGAAGGGTGGTCGTAGAGGTACACGCTGGTCGCTGAAAGTAGGTATTTCTGGATTCCCAGATCCCAAGCTACTTCAAGCGCCTTCCTACTTCAAGGTTCGGCACGCTGTTACATGTTTTGTTATTCCCTGTGGGGGCCTGGAACCATGGCACTATATCCGCTTTCCTACTTTATTTTTCTACCTATTACCAGGCTCGAACCTATCCCTATCCCTAAGATTGACACGCCAAAAGACGATGACAACCTCAGGGATGCGCCCTCAAAACATAAGGGAATCCCTAAGATTGGCATCGTGATGAGGAGATGCCCAGCATAGGGATAGGGATATGTTCCAGGCTGGTAAACCTACCTCTTCCGACCGACGTGTAATTAAAAGCGATAGCAGGAGGAGGAGGAGGAGTTGGAGGGGGGAACGGGGTGTCTTTGTAATCGTCGTCGTGGCTGTCCTGTTGTCGTGGCGATCGTTGTTGTGTTTGTCGTAACTGTTGCCGTCGTCGTCGTCGAAAGCGCTATGGTAGTCGTGTTCATGTTGGTCGTAGCGATTGTCGTCGTAGGCGTGTGGTCGTCGTTGTATTCGTAATCGTTGCGATCGTCGTCATAGTCGTATATCCAGTTTGTGAGATTGGATTTTCTGTGAGAGCGCTCCTGAGGCATAAGTAATAGTAGTCGTCGTAGTCGTAGTCGCATTCGTAGAGTCGTGGTCGTCGTCGTCGTTGTTGCGTGGCGGGTGCCGCGGGTGAATAAGTATGTTCCATTATAGGTGGTGTTCGTCAATAAGGGCGTCGAAGCGAGAATGATATTCCACTCTTGGGGGGGGGGTCTGAAGACCCTCATGGGTCAGGGATAAGCTTGAGGCTGATAAGTTCCTTTGCGCGAACGCGAGGGTGGCGCGAGTGCGGGGGGCCTGATAAGCAGGGGGGGGCTGCTTGGAAGGCAGGCGCAACGGGGGCGCCGCCACCCGGTGAGCAAGCGCTGGCCCCCTTCATGGGCCCCCCGTGGGGCGGGCACGAACTGTCCGCCCACCCCAACTTGGCCCAGGCCAACTTGCCAAGTTGGCCCGGGGTCGGCGCACGCTTCGGGGGCTTCCCGGTCGAGGCAGGGAGGCGTCGAACGGAGGAGCAGCGCGGGATTGGATCGGGGGCGGCAACGAGGGGGGTGATGACTAGGGGGGGGGATATCATGGCGTGGGCCACGATATTTCCCCAGATTTCATGGCGCCTCTTCTTACTTCATTACGTCCCTGGCCCCCCCGCTGGGCCGCGCACGTGCCGCCGGTCATGATTTGCACCCCCCCCTCTTGGACGCCCCCCTCTTGGCCGCTCCCGATCCCTGTGCTGCGCGATCCTTGTAGCAGCACCCTGGCTGCACGGCCTCCCGGGCACGGCGGGAGGGCGCGTCTTCCCGGGGGGAGCGGCGCGCAGGTCCGCCGCCGCGCCCGCGCGGTCCGGGCTCTGGGGCGCGGCCTTGCGGACATGCGTGCGCCCGGTCGCAGGGAGACGGCCCTCGAGGGGCACCCGCGAGGAGGCTGGGGCGTCGCGAGCCCTTCAGGGCGTGAGTGGTTTAGAGCGTGTCCTCCTCCACCCCCCTTCTTCCCTTTCGGGGGGGGTCGCGGCCTGGGGGCGCCCGCGAGGCCGTGGAATCGGACGCTCCGAGCTTCTCTGACTCTGCGTCGGGGCGGCGTCGTCGCCCCCGCCGACAGCCCCACATCGACCCCCGTCGCGGGCAGCCACCGCGCGCCGGAGGCGCTCCGACCCCCGTCGCGGCGCGACGACGAGGCGAGGTTGACCCCCGTCGGGGGGTCCCCCCATGCTTTTTTATGAAATCCAGTCTACGTTTTCTGCCCACGAGGATCATGAGGAGCTGGGAGGGGACGAGGAGCGTGGGGAGGTCGAGGACTGCAGGAGAGTGACACTGATTTGGGGCCCTGGACGGACCTGAAACTGCCACCGCGGGTGCAACATGTCCTGGCGCCAACATCGTAGAGCGGATGTCGTTCGGAAAACATTGGGATGGGCCCGGAGTGTGCTGGAGAAGTTCGTTCCGGATTCCGAAGTGATGTTTGTGCGGACTTGTTTGGCCAGGAATGAAGACTCGGGGGTGGACAGACCTCCTACCCTGACACGTCGATTAAGTAATTGAACGTTTTCGGTTCGCGAGAGGGCGTCGCGGCCGTCATTTTTGCGGGTCCAGGTCCGTCGGTTTCGGTCCCAGGCCGATGTCACTAAGGGGAGGTTTACTAAAGGGAGGTTTATCCACCGCCGAAAGACAAGAGAAACATCCACGTGAATTCATTTCCGTTTTTTGCTCGCCGTTTTCGGGGTCTTGCATTGACAGAAATCCGCGCCAAACATCCGCTGCAGTACGTCTGCAAGGTCGGCGCATTGGCATGTTAAACGAAAAGAGCACGCTTCGTCCCCCACGCTGATCGCGAAAAGAGCACGTTTCTTGCCCCACGTTTGCAGATAGCCCCACCGTTCACGAGCACCCGTGTCTGTTCGGGTCTATGTGAGACAGTTTGATAGGCAGTCGGGGCCTTCTCGTGAGCCTCGAAGCTGTGTTCAGGTAGTCTTGGACGGCGTCGATCAAAAGGGGGATGGTGCTTAGCTTGCGCTGCTTCTTTGAAACTGCAATTGGGGACCCTCGTAGGGCGCTCTTTGAGGTCATTGGGTTCGTCTTGGGACATGTCTGGGCCCCTCTTGGGTTTCTTGGGTTTGGCGACCTTGGAGCCACCTTGAGAGGCTTCAGAAACCCATCGGAAGCGAAGAGATGAACACACCAACATGATTGAACACACATGTTGTTTGATCACGTTGGTACCCGGGGGGACATCCCGGGGAGGCTCTGGGGGCCACCAGAGCCGTTTTGAAGCCATATCGGGGCCTCTTGACCAAAAAATACTCTAAGAACCTTTTGTGGTTTCCACGATATGTTCTTAGATCATTTCTGATTGCGACTGGTCTTGTTTTAACACATCGGGCTTGTGTTCTAAGAACATTGCTTTTGTTATGAGAATATGTGTGACATGTATGTACATGTCTGTATATATATATATGAATATATATATATATATATATATATATATCCATATTCATATATATATATATATATACACAGATGCATATCTGTATCAACATGTTGATTCGCCCTCGCTCCATCGCCTCGCGCACCGGGCGTGCTTCAGCTTCTCGCGCGACCCGCGGGGTTCCTGGCGGGCGGGCCGAGTCCCCCCCCCTCTGTTTCTTTTCTCCTTCCTTCCCTGCTCGCTGCCACTGGGGTTAAGTCGGGCACGTCCCTCTACAGGAGGAGCGTGGAACCATAATTAAGCATTAGTGTTGGGACGACCCTTCGATTATTTATGTTTTTCGAGTTTTGTTTGGCCATTTCATTGTTTCTGGTAACTTCCGCCGGTAGGAGAACATGCCCGACCTGTCACTGGGGTCCTCTTGCGCTGGAGGAAAAGTGTTGGCGCGGCCGCGGCGACCGCCGAGACCGCCGCTGCGGCCTCGAAGGCGGCCGCCACTGCGGCCGCGCAGGCGGCGGCCGTTGGCGCGGCATCTGCCGTCCGGAAGAAGCGGAAGGTAGAGGTCCACTTCCCATACAGGAACCCCTCCCTCGTTTGCCGTTTTTGGGGGCTTCTTGTGAGGCGATCGAGGATTCCCTTAATCGTACATCCCGAATCGTTTGGCCCGTTCGAAAGCCCACCATGCCCCACGGTATTGACATCCTCACGAAAGGACGGCGAACCCGAGTTCTTGTACGCCGCGAATATCCACGGTGACGAGACCCTCGGGCGGGAACTTCTTGTCAACCTGCTCCGGGACATGTGCGCGCGCTTCGCGGCCGGGGATGCTTATGTCCGGTGGCTCGTGGAGGAGACGGACATATACATGGTCATGTCTCTGAACCCTGACGGCCATGAGGCGGGCACGCGCTACAATTCAAACGGGGTGGACCTCAATCGCAACTTCCCGGACCAGGTTGCCAACGAGACCGCGGAGCTCCAGCCAGAGACGCGGGCGGCGGTGACTCCGGGCACCGAACAAGTGGTGCCTCCGGTGGCCCCGAGCAAGACTTCGCGCTGGATGTCTTTCCCTCGCCATCCATTTTTCGGGTCGGGCGAAAGGGGGGGATTGGGAAAGGGGGGGTTACGAAATTTGCTGCATGCAGCTGGTTTCGGCCTCACCGAGGGGCCCATTCCTCGATACATAGCCGCCTCCGGCGCCGGGAGGCGCCGGGAAAATCAGCTACGTGAGCTGATTCTCAAACCCCCCCTTTGCTATCCCCCCCTTTCGCCCGACCCGAACTTTGCAACCCTTCCGCGCAGCAGGTGTCGCAGCGGCGCGGCTGCGGCGCGGCCGCTGCGACCGCCAGCCGCCGCTGCGGCCTCGACGGCGGCCGCGCCGGCGGCGGCCCCTGCGCGGACATTTGCCGCCCAGAAGGTGCGGGCGGTGGAGGTCGAGGATTCGTCATTTGGGTCGCTGGAGCGCCGCTTCTCGGCCCTGGGAGCCGTCCAGGAAGGACTCGGAACGACGAGCAGGCCCTGGCGGGCTCCGCGTCGATGGGCCCAGCTGAGCCGTTTGGGGGCCTTGGTTGCCAGAGGTCTGGGGCCGCGCTGCACGTCCCAGATGTGCCCTGGGGTCCACTGGACGCTTCCGGAGGCCAAGAAATAACAAAAAGTGAAACCCGTCAAGAACAAAATATGTAGAATTCCAAACGCTTCGCGTATCCCCACGAGTGGCGCCTAGGTGCGTATCGGCTCGACTGTGGAGCATTTTGCTCAGTGCACGTGCACCGCACGCCTTGCGTGCAATTTGCCTGTTCCGCCGTCCCAGACACGCCTGTTGCCGCCACACCGTCGTCGCGCGGGCGCCGACCCAAAAAGTAACCCCACGAGCCTTGCACACTTTGGTTTACTGGGCGGCGCCTAGGTGCGTCTGCGAGTGAATGCTGAGCATTTTGTTCAGTGCATGTGCACCGCACGCTCTGTGTGCAATTAGCTTTGTGCCGCCCGCCCCGGACATTGCCTGTTGCCGCCAGACCGTCGTCGCGCGGCCGCCGACCAAACAAAATAACCCCACGAGCCCATCCAGGAACGATGCCCAGAAGAGTTGCCTCGATCAGGGAACTGGGCAACACACAGAGGAAGGGCCCGCAGTGGAGGCTTCTTGGAGCGTCTTGGGGGCCTCTTGGCAGTCCCGGGTCCCTCTTAGAGCGTTTTGGGTACCTCGGAGAGCTTCGTGGGGCCTCTTTGGGGTCGCCTCTTGGGACCCTTTTGAAAGCGCCCTTGGGAGACTTGGGAGCGCTCATGGGGACATTTTGGAGGACATCGATCAAACAAGAAGCAAACATTAATTAGCGCTGCCCCTCGGGAGCCCAACAAGTCACCTCTTCGGGCGCTTTTGGAGCGTTCTTGGGCGCTCTTGGGGCCGTCTCGGGGCTCTCCTGAGCTTCTCTTGGAGCCCTCTTGGGCCATCTTGGAGCGATACTGAGGCCTCGAATGGGCATCGGAAGCGAAAAGGCGAGAAAAAACCACACACATTGATTTCCCTAAGGTTTCGGACCTGTCTTGGAACGGTCTTGGGGCATCTTGGAGCATCGTGGGAGCCATTGTTGGGCATCTTGGGATATCTTGAGCCATCTTGGAGGTCATCGTGGGCCCTCCCAGGCGCTGTTGGACTCATCTCAATCAGTCCCTCCCCCAGGAGGCCAACATCTGGCCAACACCTCCATAAAATCGATGATGTTGGCATTCTCGCCGAGGCCTCTTGGAGCGTCTTGGGTGCCTCTGGGGGTCCACTCGGGGCATGTTCTCCTCGATTTGTTCCTCTCTTTCTCTCTCTCTCTATATATATCGCTCTCTCTATATCAAAGTTCTTTCTCCTAGTCAAATATCTGTATGTATGTTGTTGTTTTTTATGTTGATATGTGTCTCTCTTTCTTTCTCCCTTTTCTCTTTTCATCATCTCTATATCTTTAACCGTCCCTGCAAAGAAAAAGAGGCGGGGTTAAGTTGGAGCCCTTCTAAATCAAGCTTCGTGTTCGAATATGCTGGTTGAAGGAAGCAGGTAGTAGAAGAGAACGGGCACATGACGAGGGGAGACGAGACGAGAGGGGAAACGAGGGCGAGGGGAGAGTAGGGAGGAGGAGCAAGAGGAAAATAAGGAAAGAGGGTAATAGCGAAGGAGGGAGGATGATCCATTTTAATCGGATTCCATTAGAGGTGGACCCGTATGTAATAAGGTTCTCTTAGAGGAGGATCCCGATGAGTTGTGTGTCTATTAGAAGTGGGCCCATCTTCACTGATATTCTATTAGAGGTGGGTCCACTTGTAGTCTGGTTATATTAAAGGTGGATCCATCTATAATCGGGTTCCATTGGGGTCGAATTCGTATGTAATAGGAACTAATTGGAAGTGGATATATCTGCTGTATTAGGATTCCATTAGAGGTGGATCCATGTCTAATGCGATTCTACTAGAAGTGGATACATGTGTAATCGGCTTCCATCAAAGGTGGATCCATCTCTAATCCGCTCCCGTTCGAGGTGTATCCATGTATGGTGGGTTTCCATTCGAGGTGGATCCATATGTAGTAGGATTACATTAGAGGTGGGCCCGTCTCTGATAGGATTCCATTAGAATTTGACCTCAGCCTGATAGGATCCCATTCGGGGTGGGCCCATACCCAATAAGCTTATAGCAGAAGTGGGTCCATCCCGAATAGGATTCTGTTAGAAATGGATCCATATGCGACGGGGTGCCATTAGGGATGAATCCATCTCTAATATGGTTTTACCAGAGGTGTACCCATCTCTGGTAGGATTCAAGCAAAGGTGGGTCCATCTGTAGTAGGCTTTTTGTACAGATGGAGCCAACTCGGTTAGGATTCCATGTGGGGTGGGTATGTCTGCAATAGGTTTCCATGTGAAACGGGCCCATCTCTAATACGATGTGTGTATTTATGGATCCAGCTCTATTCGAATACATTCGAGATGGGCCCATTGATAACAGGAGTCTATTCGAGGTGGATCCACCCGTAGTAGGATTATATGTGAGGTGGGCCCACTTGTTTTAGGATGATACTAGGGGTGTACTCATCTGTAGTAGGATTCTATGTGCGGCGGACCCATTTGCAACAGGATTCCATTAAAGGTGGGTCCATATGTATTAGAATTATATGAGAGGTGTTTTACTATATATATATAGGATCCCATCAGATGTGGACACATGCCTAATAGGACCCATCTCTAATATGATTATATCTGGGGTGGGCCCACATGCAATAATATTATAGTAGAGTGGGGGCCATCGGTCATAGGACCTTATTAGAGGTGGATCCATCTGTAGTAGGATCCCAACAGAGCTGGATCCATCTGCAATCGGATTCTATTTGGGGTGGACCCATCTCTATTAGGATTTCATTCGAGGGGGACCCATTGTGAATAGGGTTCTATTAGATTTGGACCAGCCCTTGATCGCATTCCGTTGGAGATGGGGCCATCTCTAACAGGATTCTGCTAGAGGTGGATCAATTGGCAATTCGAGCCCATTAAAGAAGCATCCACCTCCCATGATATGTATCAGGTGTTGGCTCACCGCTAACAGGATTTCATTAGAGGTGGAACCAGGTGCACCCGAATTCTATTAGAGGTGGGTCCATTTGTAAAAAGGATTCTTGCCGAGGTGGGTCCATCCGTAGCAGGATTCCATTAGATGTGGATCCATCTCTAATGGGATCTCATGACTTGTGGTTCCATCCCTATTGGGAATATATTAGAGGCGGACCCATATGTCATAGGATTCTGTTAGAGGTGTCTCCATCTGTAGTAGGATTGAGAGGTGGATCCATATGTAGTAGGATTTTCTGTGGGGTGGACCCATATGTAGTGCGATTATGTTTGAGGTGGGCCCATACAAGTGCGAGTTTATGCAAGGTCGACCCATACGTAACAGGATTATACAAGGGGTGGATCCATCTGTGTAATACGATTTCATTCGAGGTGGGCCCATCACCATTAGGATTCCAGTAGAGGCGAACCCATTCCTAATCGGATTCCATTGGAGGTGGATCCGTATGTATTAAGATTATATTAGAAGTGGATCCATACCGAATGGGTTATATTGGATGTGGATCCATCTGCAATGTGGTGTGATTATGTTATGGGTGTATCCATCTTTAAACAGAGCTAGTTCATCACATGTGGATCCCTCTCTAATGGGACTCAGAGGTGGAATCATCGCTAATATGTTCCCATCAGGAGTGGTTCCATGTCGAATCGGGTCCCATGAGCGATGGGTCCATCTCTAATCGGTTCCATTCGAGTTGAATCCATTTGCAATCGGATTTGAGTAGAAGTGGATCCAACTGTGCCAGGATCCCATTAACGATGGATCTACATCTAATGGGATCCTTTTAGAGGTGGATCCATATGTATCCGGCCCCAACTGGTGGAGGATCCATGTGTAATAGTCTCCCATTCGGAGTGGATCGATCTCTGTTAGAATCCCATTGGAGGTGGACCCACATGTTGTAGGATTTTATTAGAAGTGGACCCATCATTGATAGAACTCCATTAGAGGTGGATCTCAATCCAGGACCCCATTCTGGATGGATCCATCTCTATTCGGACCCCATTAGAGGTGTTTGCATGTGTACCAGGAGTCCATCAAAGGTGGATCTATTTGTATTATGATTATTTTTAGCTGTGGACCTATATGTAGTAGGATTCCATTGGAGGTGGATCCATATGTAGTATGAATACATTAGAAGTGGTATCATCGGCAATAGGATTCGATGAAAAGGTGGATCCATTCGAAAATGATGTTATGACATATTATAAGAATCGTCAGCGAAAAGACACCCCCCTCGAAGGAACCCGATTGAATCCTCCACGAACGGAGTCCCATTGTAATTCCACACAAAAGGAATGCTATGGTAACGCCACAGAAGGAATCCTTGTGGGGCGGCTAGCAAAACTGGGGAGCCCCGAAGGAGAACCAACAATGTGTGTTTCCTTTTTATATGAAAAAATCCCCCCGCCAACACACAACCAATCATTTGTTGTTCCCTTCTTCCTCGGAGGTCTCTACTTTTGCTGGCCGCCACACATGGATTCCTTTCGTGACGCATTACAATCGGACCCCCCCCGTGGCCGCCGACCGAAGAAGAAAAATGCATTGAAGAAGAACAAGACAACAACATGAAAAGCGCGAGAAAAGCTCGTGAACCTCTGGAAGTGGAGTCGCCGCCTTGGGGGCCATCGTTGAGTCATCTTGAGTGATATCAATCAGAGGAGGGGGGGTCCCAATTAGCATCGCCCCCAGGAGGCCAGGCCAAAACGGGGCCAAAACCTGAGTAAAACCAGTGATGCAGGCTTCCTCGCGGAGGCCGTTTTGGACGCTCCAACTGCCCACGGGCCCCCCCACGTCCAGGTCCAGGGGAGGGGTCACGGGGGGGGGGTCCCGCCGGGGAAGAAGGGGGTTGGAAGAGGCAGCTCCCTAGACCACCTGCGCCCGAAAGGGCTGGTGGGAGTCCCGCTCTCGACCCTCAATCCAGTGCGGGGGACGCTGATGGGTGATTATGCCTGCGCCCACGTCGGCGTCCCTGTGCGGCTGAACTCGCGCTGTCGCGCCGCAGTGGGGGACGCCGATGGGTAATTACGCCTGCGCCCACGTCGGCGTCCTTGTGCGGCTGAACTCGCGCTGTCGAGCCGCAGCGCCACGTGGGTGGGTGAAGTTCCCAGCCGCCCATTGACAGGCGGCTTTTGCTGCTCTTAAGCTCTGAGCATCCAAGGGTGGAGGTATGCTTGCGAGGGCGACCGTTCCTCTACGTCCTTTGCCCACTCCTCCCCCAGCCGCTTCCCATGAGGCTGCCACTTTCAAGCAGAAATGGGATGACTCTGGGGCGCAGCCTGATGATTCTTGTGGTTCTCTTTTTTGTCCCACTCCACGGGGTGCATGATGATCCTTCAACAGACGATTGATTGAAGAAGCAGGACTTGAATCTTCGGCCCCTCGTCAAGTAGGCAAGTTCGGACGCCCGCAGACATGTGCATGGGCTCGACGGAGTTTTGTACACTCGCCTTGCTTATTCGCTTTGGGTTTTAAGTGTACAGTGGGCACATACGGCAGAACATCCTGTTATGTATGACAAGTTAGTTCATTATTGGACGTGCCGCCCACTTGCGTGCTCTACCCCAATTCCTGGGTCTTGGCTCGTTGCTGCCTTTCTCGGGTTGCTTGGTCTTGGTTCCTTGGTCTTGGTTTCCTGGACCCTTGGTCTCGGTTCCGGCGTTTCTTGTTCTTGGTTGTGTGGTTCTTTGGTATTGGTCCCTTTCTGCCGCGCTACGCGATACCGAGCACTGCTCTGCATCGTATTCTTTCGCAGTGGTCACATTAGCTTTGAACTGCTCTGGAAGGAGACCTCTCATCAGGATCGTGCCGGGCTCGTCTCTTTGTCCTCCAAGGTACGGAGGCCAAATTTATACGTAAGTCGGGCGTGTCTCGCTACAAGGGGATTGTGGACGAAAAAAGATATTCAAATGATCCCAGTGCGACCCTACCTAGGAGTTGGAGCCTCTAGGAAAGCAACATTAGTAGGAGCGGTAAACGCCGTCCCCCTCCTTCTCCTCATCGTCGTAGTTGTAGCAGTAGCGGTAGTAGTAGCAGTAGTTTTAGTAGTAGTAGTAGTCGTAGTCGTAGTCGTAGTCGTAGTCGTAGTCGTAGTAGTAGTAGTAGTAGTAGTAGTAGTAGTAGTAGTAGTAGTAGTAGTAGTAGTAGTAGTAGTAGTAGTAAGTAGTAAGTAGTAGTAGTAGTAAGTAGTAAGTAGTAAGTAGTAGTAGTAGTAGTAGTAGTAGTAGTAGTAGTAGTAGTAGTAGTAGTAGTAGTAGTAGTAGTAGTAGTAGTAGTAGTAGTAGTAGTAGTAGTAGTAGTAGTAGTAGTAGTAGTAGTAGTAGTAGTAGTAGTAGTAGTAGTAGTAGTAGTAGTAGTAGTAGTAGTAGTAGCGCCAGAACCGCCGACGCCACGCCGTAAGTGAAGCAGCAGCAGAAGCAGGCAGCAAGTCGCCGAGACAGCAGCAACAGCAAGCAGGCACGGAGATGAGGGCGGATAGCAGCATCAAAAGCAGCAAGCAATAGTGGATGCTGCAGCAAGCAGCAAGCAAAAGCAAGCAGCTGCAATAGTGGATGCTGTGCTGCGCTCTGCTCTGCTATGCTATGCTATACTATGCTATGCTTCACAATGCTATGCTGGGCTAGGCTAGGCTATGCTATGCTATGCTATGCTATGCTGCGCTATGCTATGCTGCGCTAGGCTATGCTATGCTATGCTATGCTTTTGCTGTGCCTTCGCGTTTGCCTTCATTGTTGCCTTTGCTTTTGCTTTTGCTTGGCACCCGGGGAGCGCAACTGGGGGAACCGCGCGTTTGCTTTTACCTTTGTTGTTGCTTTTGCTTGGCTCCCAGGGGACTGGGGGAACCGCCCGGGGCGGGTTGCACTGCCCGGCCCCTGTAAGCCAAGAAAGTAAGAATCATTCTTGGCAGAGCCTAGGTAGGGAAAATTATCCCAGTGCGACCCTACCTAGGAGTTGGAGCCCCTAGGAAAGCAGCATTAGTAGTAACAGTAAAGCTAAGCTAAAGCTAAGCTAAAGCTAAGCTAAGGCTACGCTAACACTAAGCTAAAGCTGAGCTAAAGCTAAACTGAAGCTAAGCTAAAGCTAAAGCTCAGCTAAAACTAAGCTAAAGCTAAAGCTAAGCTAAAGCTAAGCTAAAGCTAAGCTGAAGCTAAACGAAAGCTAAGCTAAAGCTAAGTTAGGGCTAAGCTAATTCTAAGCTGAAGCTAAGCTAAAGCTGAGCTGAAGCTAAGCTAAAGCTAAGATAAAGCTAAGCTAAAGCTAAGCTCAAGCTAAGATAAATCTAATATAAAACTAAGCTAAAGCTAAGCTAAAGCTAAGCTGAAGCTAAGCTGAAGCTAAGCTAAAGCTAAGCTAACACTAAGCTAAAGCTAAGCCAACACTGAGCTGAAGCTAAGCTAAAACTAAGCTAAAGCTAAGCTAACACTAAACTGAAGCTAAGCTAAAGCTAAGCTAAAGCTAAGCGAAGGCTAAGCTAACACTAAGCTAAAGCTAAGCTAAAGCTAAGCTGAAACTAAGCTAAAGCTAAGCTAACGCTTAGCTAAAGCTAAAGCTAAGCTAAAGCTAAGCTAAAGCTAAGCTAAAGCTAAGCTGAAGCTAGACTGAAGCTAAGCTAAGGCTAAGCTAAAGCTAAGCTGAAGCTAAGATGAAGCTAAGCTAAAGCTAAGCTAAAGCTAAGCTAAATCTAAACTTCAGCTAAGCTGAAGCTAAGCTAAAGCTGAAGCTAACACTAAGCTAAAGCTAAGCTAACACTGAGCTGAAGCTAAGCTGAAGCTAAGCTAAAGCTAAGCTGAAGCTAAGCTAACACTAAGCTGAAGCTAAGCTAAAGCTAAGCTAAAGCTAAGCTAAAGCTAAGCTAAAGCTAAAGCTACAGCTAAAGCTGAGCTAAAGCTAAAGCTAAGGCTAAAGCTCCCAGGGGACTGGGGGAACCGCGGGGCGGGGACTGGGGGAACCGCCCGGGGCGTGTAGCACTGCCCGGCCCCTTTAAGCAAAGAGAGTAAGAACCCTTCTAGGGAGAGCCTAGGTAGGGAAAAATACCCAAATACGCAAAACTAGTAACAACATCGTCCACATATTATGTTTTGACTATTTTTGAATACTCCCCTTGTAGAGGGACACGCCCGACTTAATGTATACATGCCCACCGGTCTTCGGCCGGGCCCTGCCTCAGTCCAGAGGGGTGCCTGCGCCCTCCTGGCCAGCCAGGAGGGCGTGGCGTATACGCCGCTGCTGGGCTCAGGATGGGCCTGGCCATGGAGCGGTGGACATGTGCACACGGTGGTCGTTGAAAGTAGGTATTTTCGGATTCCCAGATCCCAATCTACTTCAAGCGCCTTCCTACTTCAAGAATCGATATGCTTTTGCTGTGTTTTGTTGTTGTCTGGCAGGGCCTGGACCCAATCCACTTGATCCGCCTTCCTACTTCATGATTTTGCCTACTTCTTCCGACCGACGTGTATAGAGTTCGTCGCCCTACATATAGCAAGGATGCGACACTTCCCAAGGTCACCCTTGCATCCGTCCCCTTCGGCCTATCCTTGGCCGCTCTCGCTGGCCGCGCCCTGAGCGCAAAGTGGCGACATGGCCTTCCGAGGCCCTTGCATCCTTATGGTGCGTCCTTCTTGTACTCATGCAGTGGCGAAGCATCCTGGCTTGCCTATAGACCCACCAAATGAATGGTCTAAGAACCTTGTGTGGTCTGCAAGACATGCTCTTAGAACATTTCTTGTTGAGACTGTCTTGTTTTTAGGCATCGGTATATGTTCTAAGAACATTGTTTCTGTTATTCGAACATTTTGAGATCCTAAGGACATGTCATAGTAGGCCTACAAAAATGCCTGGACGATCGGTCCCTGCTCAATAGAATTCGTCGCCCTATAGGTGAACTTCATGCGGCAGCACACCTTCGCTCTGGGCGCCACGCTCCACGCGGGCGCCCTCGTCTGCAACTACCCCTGGGACGGCCGCCGGGGGGCGCCAACTTTCCGCGCGCACGCAGGCGGAGGAGGAGGAGGAGGAGAAGGGAGAAGGAGGAGGGGACGGCTTCAGGTCCAAGACCAAAACCGCCGTCAGTGAAGAAAAGGAGGAGGAGGAGGAGGAGAAGGAGGAGAAGGAGGAGGAGCAGGAGGAGGAGGAGGTAGCAGGGAGGAGGAGGAGGAGGGGACGGCTTCAGGTCCAAGAGCAAAACCGCTGTAAGTGAAACAAAAAGAGGAGGAGAAGGAAGGAAGAGGAGGAGGGGACGGCTTCAGGTCCAAAGTCAAAACCGCCGTGAGTGAAGAGGAGGAGGAGGAGGAGGAGGAGGAGGAGGAGGAGGAGGAGGAGGAGGAGGAGGAGGAGGAAGGGAGGAGGGGGACGAGGAGTTGGAGGAGGAGAAGGAGGAGGAGAAGGAGGAGGAGGATCCCCCCGCGGTGCGCGTCCTGGGCCCACGGGGTCGGGCTGGGCTGCGCGGCTCCCTCGGTTTGGGCTCCGCGTGGCTGCGCGGCGCCGGCACGCGCGTGAACAGCCGCGGTCGGGGCGAGGGATATCCAGGGGCTCCCACGAGGGCGCGCAGTGAGTCGCGCTTAGCGGGCCTCCTTCCTCCTCCCCCTCCTCCTCGTTTCCCCTCTCCTCCCCTTTCGGGGCGGCGCGAGAGCGCGGAGTTCTTCGCGCAGCGCGGAGCGCGAAGTCAGGAGCCCTTGAAATCTCGAGGTCGGCTCGGGGAGGATACACCTTAGGCGATGCTTAAGAAAACCTAAGTTTTCGGCCAGAGTCTCGATTATTCTTAACGTTTCAATGTAAATCCTAAGATTTTAATAGAAATGTTGGGTTTTTATTTAAGTTCCGAGACTATGAATTTCTGAACCCATGATTTCTTAAGCATTTCGCAGGGTGTACCCTCGAATGCTCCTCAGTTTTCGGAGGCGGAATTCGTACAGGACCACCGCCTGGAGGATCAACCTTCGGGGGCCTCGGCAGACGGTGGACATGGGTATGCTCGAGCCCCCCGCGGGCCAAAATAGATACATTTTCGCCGCCCGCTGAGGCACCAGGGCGTCAGTTCCCAGGCGGTGGATGTGGATCAGTCCCCGCCTAACAGTTTTGGCCGGCGGAGGGTCTCATGTTCTTGGAGGACGGTATTCTTTAAGCAGTGGCGAAGCGTCTTGGCTCGCCTATTGGCCCACAGAAGAATATTATGATACACTTTCGTGGTTTGCACGAAATGTTCTTAGACATTTCTGGCTGATTCCGTCTTGTTTTAACACATCGGGCTCATGTTCTAAGAACATTGTTTCTGTTCTTAGAACATGTCTGGGTTCTAAGAGCACGTCGTGGCAGGCCTACAGAAATGCCGGGACGGTCGGTCCCTGTTCAAAGATCTGGCCACACACGTCCTGATTGGGCCGTTTTTTCACCGTTTCCGAAAAAGTGCCCCTTGAAAATGGAAACGGCAAAAAATCGGCGACCAGAAACAGCAACAAAAACGGCTCAAGGATTGGAACCGGAGCGGGAACCCGCAAAAGAACTGCGACGGAACCGGTAACAAAAACGGCGACGGAACCGGCACAAAAACGGCAAAACGGAACCGGCAACAAAAACGGCTTTGTCGTTTCCGGGGCGCACTAAGGTCCTGCCCCTCTGGTCTTCCCGCGCATCGTGCCTCAGGCCGCTTCCGTGCGCCCGCCCCGCCGCCTGCTCGACCGGCGCCATTGCTTGCCGGCGGTCCGCGGGCCAAGAAGGGGGTGGCTCTTCGCAGGCCTGGAGGTTGACACCAGCACCAGTTTCGGCGGTGTGCCTCGACCTTCGTGGGCCCTGGAAACGACAGGGCCGTTTTTGTTGCCGGTTCCGTTTTGCCGTTTTTGTGCGGGTTCCGACGCCGTTTTTGTTATTGGTTCCGTCGCCGTTCTTTACGGGTTCCCGCTCCAGTTCCAATCCTGGAGCCGTTTTTGTTGCCGTTTCCGGTCGCCGTTTTTGTTGCCGTTTCCATGTTCAAGGGGCCTTTTTTTCGGAAACGGTGCAAAGAAAACGCCCTGCCGTTGCCGGGGCCCACAAAGGCCCCGACCGAGGGAAGAAGATCCCGATTTTGGTGATGGTGGCAATATTCTGGCTTCCAAGGGGGCCGAAATATCACCACGAACACAGAGTCTAGGATCATCTTCCCCCTGTGGAGGCAACCCCCTGTGTTGGTGTTGGTGCCAATTTCCAGGCCTCCGAGTTCCCTGGTTCCCCGATTTTTTTTGTCCGAATTGCGCCTCGCGAGGTAGCTCTCACTTGGAACCCGCCGGGGGTCTATGGCCCTGGGCTGGTGTTGACCAGGGCGGGCAGGTTCGAAGTGTTGGGTTCGGAAGGTTTTTTTTGTTTTTATCGGCTTCCTTGGGCCGTCTTCGGGCCCCCCAGGAGACAAAAACACATCCATGGTGAAAACCTGCATCAGGTGGCCCCCAGAAGGTCCAGGGACAGATTGTGAGCGGATCTGGCTGCATCCCCCTGGGCCCCAAACAATTCAGAGCCCCGGCTCCAAGTCCTACAGTCAACCCGCATAGTAAGGATGGCAACCTTCCAAAGGGTACCCCTGCATCCTTGCCTCCTGGGTCCATCCTTGGCCACTCTCGTTGACCACGCCCCGCTCGAAGAGCTCCGTGATGGGCTTCCGAGGCCCTTGCATCCTTGTCGCGCCTCCTCATCAGGCATCCTTATCGCGTCCCCCTCTAGGGGGACGCGCCCGACTCAGCCCCAGGCTACAGCTCCGGCCTCCCCGGGCGCGGCGCGCCCTCGCTGTGCCCCGACGACGCGCTCTACGGGCACATCCCAGCGAGGGCTCCCGCCGCCGGCCCCGCGAGCGCCCCCCTGCGGAGGCTCGCCGTCTTCGCCGCCGCCGTCGTGGTCGCCGTCGCCGTCGCCGTCGCCGTCGCCGTCGTGTTGCCGCCCGCCTTCGGCGGCAGAGGGACCACAGAGATGGAGCCCCAGGTTCGGCCACTCTTAAGTCGGGCCTGTCCCCCTACAGGGGGATTTTCGAAGAAAAGTAAGAAATATCCCAAACATAGTCAAAAATTGTCTAAATATAGTCTGGGGCTATTTTTGTTAGTATTTTCTGTTTTGTTTTGTGACATTTTGGGGATATGTTTTATGTTTCGTCGAACATTTCCTTGTAGGGGGACACGCCCGACAAAAGGCCACTCCCCTCCCCCCCAGATCCAAAGTGGGGTTTGGGGCCTCGCGGAGGCCCTGGGTGTTCCATTCGGTCTGTCCTGACGCCTGCGCTGCCGAATGCCCATCGGGCTGGGATGGGGGCCGTGCCTGAGAGGAGGGCACCCAGCAGGCTCCACTTCAATGTAATCGATCCGGGTCGATGTCAATTTCGGCCAGCCCGATCCGATTTGACTCCCGACGTTCCGGCGACCCGGTGCTTGCATGGCACTGCTGGGCATTCTGGCGCATGTGGCCCGCTTCGATTTCGACCCCGAGCCGATGCGGCCCGCTCCGGCGCACCCTCCGATTCGATCCGATTTCGCCGGTGCGATGTAGACCTAAGTCGGGCCTGACCCTCTGCACGGGGAATTTTCGAAAATAGTCAAAAAATAGTCTGGGGACTATTGTTTGAGTATTTTGTGGCATCTGTTGGATATTTGTTGGGTATTTTTTTATGCTTCGTCCAAAATCCCCCTGTAGGGGGGACAGGCCCGACCTAAACGTGGACTGGTCCTGCTTGCCCATGCCCCAGTCGGCGAGGAATGGTTACTGCTGGCGTTCGGTCCATCCCGCCGCCGTGCCCGGGTCGTGGGTCATAGGCCTCTCGGGTGTTCTTTGGGATGTCGTGGGAGGCCTCTCGGGTGTTCTTTGGTATGTCGTTGGAGGCTTCTCGGGGGTTCTTTGGGATGTCGTGGGAGGCCTCTCGGGGGCTTCTGGGGGGTCGTTTTGGGGCCCTCTTGGGGGCCCTTTGGGAGCTTCTGGGGGTGTCTTCGGGGCCTCCAGTTGGGGCCTCGTGGGGGCATCCTGGGGGCCGCCTGGGGGCCTCTTGGGGCGGAAGACTTGGATTTTCGCTTCGTGCTCCCCCTCTTGGGTGCTTCTTGGGGTTGTCTTTGGGCTCTCTTGAGGCGCCCCTGAAGCTGTCTTGGAGCCCTCTTCGGAAGTGTTGGGGCCCTCCTGGGAGCCTCTTGGGCTGTCTTGGGGTGTTTCTGGGGGCCTCTAGGACAGTTTTGGAGCGTCGAGAGCTCGAAGTCGAGGAACCCCAAATTGTTGGAAAAACTTGTGTTAAATCAATAACTTTGTACAATTAATGATTTTGACCTCTCGGGGCCCTCTTGGGGAGGCTCTTGGGGTTCTCTTGGGACGTCTTGGGGGCCTCTTGGGCCGTCTTGGGGTCACGGCGTAGTGGAGCGACCGTTCGGCGACTCGGCGCCCTCTTGGGCCGTGTACGGGGCATCCTGGCGCTCTCTGGGCCCGTCTTGGGGCCGTCTCGGGCCCCAAGAAGTCATGCGACAAGACTTCCCGTAGCCCAGGGGAACCGCAGGAGGCCCCGCCGAATTTAGCAGTGTGGTGCCCAGGCCTCCTGTACAGTCGGGGCCCTGAAGAAGGAACCCTTTTCGTTGGGGAGGGGCTCGGTAATCCTTGATTGGGCTGCAGTTTGCTTTCTGTTTTCCTGAGGTTTTTCATGGGACATCGAAGTTCAACTTATGGGAAAAAGGGGCCCCGTTCCTTATTTAGGGTTCCTTCTGTCAACGCCCCGACTGTAGGACTGATCTTCAGGAGCCAGGACACGTGGCTCACAGGACGAGGCAGAGGACCTGTGGGCACGCCCTCCGTGCCCGGCGGCCCGGATGCGGAGTCTTCTTCGCGTATCGGCGCCGCGGTAGGATGGCCGAGTAATCGGGACGACCGACATGGGTATTTTGGGGGTACTTTTGGGGAATGTTTTTTTCTTCGTCCAAAATCCCCCTGCACGGGGACAGGCCCGACCTAAATGTGGACTGGTCTTGCTTGCCCATGGCCCCAGTCGGCGAGAAAATGGTTACAAATGGCCTTCGGTCCATCCAGCCACCGTGCCCGGGTCGTGGGTCGAAGGCCTCTCGGATGTTCTTTGGGATGTCGTGGGATCGGGACGACCGACATGGGTACGGAAAGAATGGGTACAATGCCCAACAGCAGTTCCTGCTCATTTTGAACCGGACTCGCTGTCCACGCCGCCGCGGCCTGTGTCGATATGAGACAGAAGGCCGCCTGCCCAACAGCGGCCGCTGTTGGTTTGGGACAACATTTGTTGGGCATTGTACCCATTCTTTCCGTGCCCATTTCGGGCGTCCAGAGAGTAGCGCTATGATGTTCCAACCGACTTTAGCCTTGACTACCAGAAAGAAGCCCGAGCACCAAGAACGTACCGACACTTGAGTGTTTTCACGTGTCGGGCCCTGGGAGGCGAGACTCGTTCGACACTGTTTCGATACTTTTCTGGGTGCTCCAAGCTATTCGTGGCATGTGGTCCTCAAGTACGATGGGATCCGCAGAAGAGCAGCGCTACATTTGGCACAAGCATGCGTTTTTGGAGGTCCGCCCAACTGTCTTGGGTCGGCGCCGGATCCCCCCAGTCGATCCAAGACATCTGAGCGGGCCTCCCCATACCTATATACATCTCACGGGGGACCGGGTCCGGGGGCCGGGGGGGGGCCGGAGCCCAGCGACCGCAGATGTGGGGCCCGCGGCCGGGCCCGCCTCTGGGAGGCCCAAACTCGCCAGGACGGTCTCGAGACAGCCCCAAGACGCCGTCCAGGGGTCTCTGGCGACGCACGATGCGTTTTAAGCTGCCCCGGAGGCCCCCAAGACGCCCCAAGAGGCCTTGAAGGTGCCGCCCAAGAGCGCCCCGAGCGGGCAAAATCGTTGATTTTGATTGGTTTTCTTCAATGTGTATTGCATTCGCTGTTCCGTGTTTCTGGCGCTAAAGCACCGCGAGGCTCCCCAAACCGCTCCAAGACGGCCCAAGAGGCCCCAAACAGAGCCCCAGACCGGCCCGAGAGAGCCCCGAGACGGCCCCAGAGCCGTCCAAGACGGCGCAAGAGGGTCCCAAGAAGGCCCCCAAGAGAGGGAACGCGAACCGAAAAATCAAGCTCTCCGCCCCAAGAGGCCCCAAGAGGCCCCAAGATGCCCCCAGGAAGCCCCCTAGAGAGCCCAAGATGCCCACAAGAAGCCCAAATGAGGCTCCAAGAGGCCCCAAGACGGCACCCAAAAGGCTCCAAAATTCTTTCTAAGAGGCCCCCGAAGACATACCAAGAAGGTCCCATGACGACTGCACGAAGCAGTCCAGGATGCTCCGAGGAGGCCCCGAGAAGCTCGCTAGAACTCGAGCGCGCGCGAAGCGCGCGCGATGGTTCTAGTCCTGTATACATATATATAGAGATATATATACATACATGTATAGACAACTTACATACATACATACATACATACATACATACATACATACATGCATACATACATACATACATACATGCATACATGCATACATGCATACAAACATACAAACATACATACATACATACATACATACATGCATACATACATACATACATACATACATGTATATAGTGTACCAGTTTTGGATGCTCGGTTAGGGGTATCAGCATTAGCTAGAGCGCGACGCTTTCCAGATGGCATATTCATTTTCCCCCGATCCCTGGTACATTGGATTTTTGACGGTCTATATATGTATATATATATATATATATATGTATATTCATGCGTACACATGTACCTATACATATGATTAGACCTGGACGCGCACATGCACATGCATATACACGTGCATGGACATGTACAGGCATCCATATCCATAAGCAAACACATAGACATAGTCATACACAGTCAGATATAAACGTTTACATGCAGATGCAGTGGTACCAACATGTGCGTACAACATATACATATTATAAATATAGTTATGTTGTCATGTCCTGTGCGCGCCGCACATAGAAACCATATATAGAGAGAGAGAGGGAGAGAGATAACCATGTAAATGGCCATCCCATCGATTAACTTCGAACGGTTGTTGCGTTTGTAACTGTGCTCATTCTTCGACGATCGGCACCGCGGCATGTTGAGGGGCAGCGATGCGTGGGGCTTGGCGCAGGGTGGGGAACCACGATCTGGAATGGACGATCCTTCGCCGATCGATGACCGATTGGCCACCGCGAGAGTGGGGACGCCTCGCGGTCCCTTGGCGGGGTGGGGCACCCATGCTCCGGCCTCGGCGAGGCATTTGGCGATTTTTGGGGGGTCGAGGCCCCCCTCGCCGAGCCCGTCTCTGTCACGCTGTCCCCCGAGGAGTGTCCTCTGTTCGTGTGGCCATCGTCCTCTTACGCCTTGTGTAGCCGGTCTGCGCGGGCCCTCGCACACCCCCCCCCCTCCATGGAGTAGATCTTTGCTGTTTCTGGCGCCTGTGTCGAGCAGGTTGAGTCTTCCCCATAGGACGCACTGCTGCAAACCAATGTCGAAGCGCCGAAAAAGAACACGCTCGCGTGTCGGTGCCGCGGCACTCTCGAAGGAGGGCCGGTCGAGGCGGTGGCGGCCTTTTTGGGGTTCGAGGTGGGAGGCGTTGGGACGCGGCCGTTGGCGCTGGGCGGTTCTCCAGCCTCGGGGCTCTTGCAGCACCGGCGCCCCCGGCCTCCCTCAGGGGGCCAGCCAGGGGGCCCGTTCCTCGAGGCGGATCGGGCCGCGTCGCCAAGAAGGCTCCAGGGAGGCTCAGAGAGGCTCCTCCTCCTCCTCCTCCTCCTCCTCCTCCTCCTCCTCCTCCTCCTCCTCCTCCTCCTCCTCCTCCTACTCTTCCTCCTCCTCCGCCAGCTTCTAGGAACTTGTTGCCTACGCGATGCGTTTTTGATTCCTCGTTGGCCCCGTCGGGGCCTGGGTGTCTCGACCTCGGTGGCCGAGCGAAGACAGCTCGGGGCTCCCACCCTCCCTGGGGGCAGGGCTTCCGTGACTCGCTTTTGAAGCGCCCGACAGGCCAAAGGGTCGCGGTTTTCCTTCGCAATTTGTTGGTGCCCGTTGGAGACACGATTTCGGTCCGATATCGTCTCGCCGCCGCCGTGGACGCCTGGGCCCGATTCGGGCGAAGAGAACTATGCACATGCACCGATCCTGGCAAGGCCCATCCTCGACCCAGGATCGGTGTATATGCCTTCCTGGCCAAGCTAGGAGGGCGTAGGCACCGATCCTGGGCTTAGGAGGGGCCTGGCCAGAGTCGGTGTATGTGCATAGTTCTTTTTCCTCTACCCGATGGGGCCCCGGGGGATGAGGCCCCGAGGGATGGGAACATCGCCCGGGGAGGGCCGCCGTTGTCTCGACCGGCCACGGCCCGGCTGCCCCGCCGACGGGCCTTCCGGGCCATAGCTCGGGCCATCCTGGCGGCCGCCCTGGACGATCCGGGCACCCCAGCAGTGACGATCGAACAACACGCACCCATACCCAGAGGGGGGTACAACGACGCGAAGATCGGGACAAAATCGGATCGGGATAACTCGAAATCTCTGAGAATCGGCGGGTTTGGAGGATGTATTGGGCGCCGCGGCCGCTCCAGAGCGTTCCGGAACGCTCTGAGAGCGCTCCGGAACGCTCTGGAGCGATTTATCCCGATCCTAGTCCTGTTTTAGGGGGACGGAGGAGGCTATGGGTGCGTGTTGTCGGGTGGGGGTCCCCGCTCGAAGGGGAGCTTCCCCCAGGGTTCGACCATTCGCACCCCTACCCATAGCCAGTTGCCCTCCGTTCGACCCTCCTATGGGTTATGGGTGTGAGTTGTTCGCTCGTCAGGCAGCGCGATCGTCGAGGCGCAGCTGCTGGAAGTCAAGCTGCTCCGAAGCCGGAGGGCCACAAAAGAGCGCACGAGCGCGTCCGAAGCCCTCCAACGCTGAGAATCCCGGGGGGGAGCCGGCGCTGCTTCGGCTTCCCCCTCCCCTTTGGGGGCCGATCGGCGATCTCTCGGCGATGGATCGTCCACTGCTGGTCAAAAGGATCCCGCTCTGGGCCAGGCTCACCGCACCGGTGCCTGTCAGCATCCCGCGATGCCGATATTCGCAGAAGGCCATCGGAGGCGTTCGAATACACAGGTGTTCGGAGGTCCGCGGTTCAGTACACGATCTAGTCCAGCGACCCCAAATGCAACCGATCGGGAGGGGGGAGGCATGATGCCGCTAGACAGCTTTTCTTCTCAGGCTTGCTAGAAGGCTGACAATGAAAAGCGAGCACCACACGCGGCATCAACGTGTACGTTCGGGGGTCCGCCCTGGTGTCTTGGCAACCAAAGAGCGGACGACAGAAACCGACTCTAACCAGCAAGCAGTGAGGAGGAGGAGGAGGAGGAGGAAGAGGAGGAGGAGGGAAGAGAGAGAGAGAGAGAGACAAGCTGGGTGCGCTCGCGTCATATCTGACGTCCTACCCCTCCCTCCCATCCCTTCCCATGGCGCTGCTTTTCTCTATCCGCGGACGCGTGTCGTAGCGGACCTGTGTCTCCGCGCGCGCGTGCGTAGTGGGTGGTGGTGCGCGTGCGTGCGTGCGTGCGTGTGTGCGTGGTTGTGGTTGTGGTGGTGGTGGTGGTGGTGGTGGTGGTGGTGGTGGTGGTGGTGGTGGTGGTGCGGCGCGGTGGTGGCGGGCGGATGGGCGCGCGAGAAAGAGGCCCGCGCTGGGGCGAGAACGCCATCCTGAACGACGGAGGCCAAACACCGATCCGAAAATGAGGCCCACGCTGCAGCGGGAGCACGATTCGGAACGATTCGGGAGCAGAAATGAGGCCAACGCCTCAGCGAGAGCAGCATTTTGGAAAAAAACGCAGGCGAAAACCCGTTTCCCGGGAATCCTGTGTGTAAGAAAACGGTACGCGGGGGGGTCGGCGATCACCCAACCGCCATCAGGGGAAGAGGGAGAGTATTTTCATATTGAGTAATTGTACAATGGGAAGAGGATGAGGACGAAGAGGACGTGGAAGGAGATAGGGGGGGGCAGGAGGAGGGACAGGGGGTCGGCGAGGCTCCAGAAGGAGGGAGATGATGACGAGTGCCGACGAGGCTTGTGTCCATATCCGCTGCAGCTTGAAGTTTCGGGTCTCTCCCCCAGAAGCCCGAGGCGCGCTGGACATGGTTGAAAATCTGCCCCCCGAGGCCAGACTGGCATACCTATCCAGTGCGCCTCGGCCTCCTGGCGCCCCTCCGCAGAAAGTCCCGGGCGCAGTGGCTGCGGATAACGAGGCCCGCCCGCGTCGAGGGCGAGGGGGGGAGGGCGACGAGGCTCTGGAGAACAGGCTGGCCCGCGCCCCCCGCCCGCCCGATCCCCCCCCGGGGGGGGGCGCCGGCTCTGCTCCGCGTACAGCGGGCTGCACCCGCGGATGCGCGGCTCGCAGGCCGCCCGGGATGCGGAGGGCGAGGAGGGGTCAACGGCACCGTAACGGGTACTTACTAACGGGTACTTTGAATTTTTGCCGAAAGTTGCCAGTTTAGGGCCTTTTTCTTGCATTGCAGCTTTGCCCACATCGGGAAGGGTTGGGTTCGCTGGTTCACTGGCCAAAGTACCCGTTAGTGGAGTCCCCGTTTGAGGGGCGCTGAAGGGGGAGAAGGGGGGAGGGGAGGATCCGCGGCGCGCTGGGAGACAGAGCCCTTCCTCCTCCTCCCTCGCCCTCCCTCCTCCTCCGCCTCCTCATTGTGCACCGAGTGCGGTCGTACCCTTCGACGGTCGTGGGCGTCCTCCGCCTCCTCCTCCATCCTGCTCCGCCCCCCTCTTCCTCCTCCTCCTCCTCCTCCTCCTCCTCCTCCTCCTCCTCCTCCTCCTCCTCCTCCTCCCCTCCTCCCCCTCCCCCTCCCCCTCCCGCTTCCCCTCCTCGATCTCCTCCTCCGTCGTATGCGAGGGCGAGGGAGGAGGAACCACTATTCGCTGGGGGACAGTTTTTTCCTCCTCCTCCTCCTCCTCCTCCTCCTCCTCCTCCTCCTCCCTCCTCCCTCCCTCCCTCCTCCCTCCCTCCCTCCCTCCCTCCCTCCCTCCCTCCCTCCCTCCCTCCCGCCCTCCCTCCTCCCTCCCTCCCTCCCTCCCTCCCTCCCTCCCTCCTCCCCCTCGTCCTCCTCCCTTCTCCTCCGTCCCCCCCCTCCTCCTTCTCCCAGTGTTTTTTGACATGCCAGTGGAAACCTAAATCGGCCAGCGGTTACGACAAAGTTGGAAGTGCGCTGCTTGGAGGCGCAAGATCTGGCATTATGCAGCAAGGCTGGCTGCCATGCCACGGGGCCGGTGGGCAGTGAATACACCTGCTTGGAACGCGGCTGATTGCCAGAAAGCAAGCGACCGCCGACCACACGGGCCCCAAAAAACGATTGGACAATGAGATGGTGTTTTTTCCTTCGGGCGCCGGAACTGATGTGGATGCGATGGATTGGTTACGCGAGGCGACAAGCAACACCTGGCGAGTTGGCTGCGAGCGTTCCAATTTCTGGGGGCTGCTGCCCGATCCTCCCATCCCCCAAGGGACACGCCCCGGCGCGACGGTGGTGGTTCGTTCGTTCGTTCGTTCGTTCGTTCGTTCGTTTCTCCTCCTCATTCTCCCCTCCTCTTCCGCCGGGTGCGGAGGGCGAGGGAAGACGACCACGATTCGTTGGGGGACAAAGCTCTCCCTCCTTCCTCCTCCCCCCATCCCTCCCTCCCCCGCTGCTCCTCCTCCTCCTCCATCCCCCACCCCCTCCTCTTCGTCCTCCTCCGCCAAGTGCGGATGGCGAGGGAGGAGGATCCTCCATTCTCAGGGGTAGCGTTAGGGGAGTGGGTATGCTCAAGAGGTTCGAGGATCGCGGCTCTTTTTCTGGAGGTTCTCGAGCGTCCCTGGGCGCCCTCGCGCCCCGGTCTGGATCCGCCTCGGGATTCTTGGCTAAGCGAGCCCTGGGAGAGGTAGCACGGATTGATTTTTGAGCCCCAGTCAGCGGCAGCGTCAGGGGTGAGACGCTCCGGAGGGTGCGCATCGACCCCCACTTGCCCACACAGCGCCGGCATCGCCATCGCTCCCGCTCAGGGCGACCCGTTCGCTGAGGGCGACCCGTTGTCGCGGTATCGCCGTCGTTCCCGCCCAGGGCGTGGGCATGTCGCCGATTTATCGGCGATGCATTTCCCCCCATCGTTGCCCCTCAGGGCGGCCCGTTCGCTCGTACAAGGAAACGGCATGAGCACGAGACCGTGTGAGGTCCGCGCGGATGTCGTGGGTCGGTGTCTGAACTCTCCTATGCGGCGCCGCGCGGGTGTCCAGCGCCGATCCGAGAAGTCCGCGCGGACAGTCGAAAGCTTTGGTTCTGCGGCTGCTTACCTTTCCACTGAGTGGCAGTGTTGTTCTCGCAAGCGTGACTCTGCTTTTGTTCCCCTCAGTGCGCCAGCGACGCACAGACGCGCAGCATCCACAAAAAGACTGCTGGCGCAATGTACTGGCGCAATGTAGATTTGATGCTCCAAAATTCGCTTCAGCGCGATGTATCACACGGTCGGACCGAGGTATAAGATCGAGCCCAGCTATAGGAGGGTACCTTGATGTTCCTCGTGTTTCTTGGACGTGCTTGCGCACCACGGGGGAGAGCATCCTTGGACGTTCTCTGTGTGTGTGTGTGTGTTGGCCAGCGGGGGATCTCAAGTTCTCTCAGGATGCTCTTCCGTCCCGGGTCCCGCCTGTATCCCCACCAGCCCATGCAGAAACGTTGCCCACGAGAGCTGACGGGATCCGGGAGGAAGAGACACGCATGGTGAAGCGACACGGGCAGGGAGGGGACGGGGACGAACGTGGCGCGCCTCCGTTGGAGGTCGTCTTAGAGCACCGCGGGCCTTCTCGGAGCCATCGCCGGCGAAGAGAGGGCCCTCCGCTCGCAGCGAGGGCGCACGGCAGGTCGGATCCCGAAGCGCGTCTCGCGGCGCGCCCAGCCCAAGTCGCGCGGTGCCGCCCTTGGATTGACCTCCCCGCTCAGCGTCCCGGGGGTGTCTAGACCGTGTTGTGGACGCGTGGAGAGCAGCGGGAGTAGAAAGACCTCCTCCTCCTCCTCCCCCTCCTCCTCCTCCCCCTCCCTCCTCCTCCTCCTCCTCCTCCTCCTCCTCCTCCTCCTCCTCCTCCTCCTCCTCCTCCTCCTCCTCCTCCTCCTCCTCCTCCTCCGTGACGTGTTATCTTTTGCGTCGCAGCGCGGCGGAGGCAGGTCCGCACGCGCGCCGGGGCGGTCCGGGCAGCGGGCAGCGCGAACGAGCTGGCGGCAGGAGGAGGGGAAGGCAGACGGAAGCGGCCGCGAGGGAGGTTTTTTTTGTTGGATTGGCTCCTCGCTGAAGCATACGGCTTGTCGAGACTGGGTGGCGTTGCAGCCAGCATAATATTAGTCAGACTAAAAACTTCTGCAAGGGCACCAAGGACGCAAGGACAGTAGTTCAACCCCCACATGGCGAGGTGCGTCGCCGTGGAGCGGCCAAGGCGCACGACATAAACATCCACGTCGCCGAGGGGTCCGCTGTGTCTAGAGATCCCAACGTCGACAGGGGTCCGCCTCCAGCGCTGCCCCTGGCGCGCTCCGCGCGCCGGTGAGGGGGGTCTGGCGCCGATCCAAGAGGTCTGCGCAGACCTCCGAGTTGTCGTAATCATGTCGTCGCTGTGTTTCCCTCTGCCGTCGTACGTTTGGCCACTTTGCTCGCCCTGCTCCTCTTCCTCCTCCTCCTCGTCGTTGTCGTCCTCCTCCTAGTCTCCTCCTCCTCGCCCTCCTCCATCGGGGGCTCCCCCCAGCATCCACTCCGCTCCTCCGCTCCAGCCCTCTCCTCCCTTCCCGCCCTCGCCCCCTCCTCGGCTCGGCGCAGCTTCGACGCAGCTTCGGCGCACGAGTGGAGCGAGTGGCTCCAGGGAGGTCCCCAACGAGAGCCCCTCTTCTCTCAAGGGAGGAAGAACCAACCTTGCCCTGACGATCGGCGTTTGCGACAGGGCCCTGGGCGTTTGCCGAACGGCCCCGCCCTGTTCGATCCCTTCCCTGGGTGCGCTTACTGACCGTCTCCGCTCGTCGGGGTGCGCATCACGGGGGTGGCCTTTCTGCTCGCCTCTCCCGCCTGCGCTCCCCCATCCCGGCCAGGGGCGCCATCCGGGATACCTTGCCCGCGGCCGGCCCGCCGCTGCGCCTCCCGCCTCCCGGCCCTCGCAGGGCGCCCCAAGGGCAGGAGTCTCGTCCCGCTGTGCCCTCCTCGCCCCGCGCCGGTGCCCACGTCCTCTCACTCTTCCTCCTACCATCGCCGTGGAGGAGGAGGAGGAGGAGGAGGAGGAGGAGGAGGAGGAGGAGGAGGAGGAGGAAGAGGAGGACGGGGAGGAGGAGGAGGAGGAGGAGGAGGAGGAGGAGGAGGAGGAGGAGGAGGAGGAAGAGGAGAAGGAGGAGGAGGAGGAGGAGGAGGAGGAGCAACGGGTCCTGAGGGAAACGGGTCCTGAGGTCTTCCTCTTGCCATCGCCGCGGGAGCGAAAAGAACTATGCACATGCACCGATCCTGGCAAGGCCCATCCTTGACCCAGGATCGGTGCATATTCCCTCCTGGCCAAGGTGGAAGGGCGTATGCACCGATCCTGGGCCCAGGATGGGCCCGGCCAGAATCTGTGTATGTGCATAGTTCTGTTCCTTCTGGCCGCGGGGGCAACGGGTCCTGAGGGAAGCGGGTCCTGAGGTCTTCCGCCGTTCCCGGGCCCTCCGCCGGCCCCGGGACCGTCCGAAAGAGGCCTCGGAAAGACAAGCTCGTCCCGGGGGCAAGCCCCGGGGTCCAGGATCCGGTTCCCTCAGGACCCCTTCCCCCTATGCTCATTCACCTCCTCCTCCTCGTCCTCCTCCTCTTCCTTCCTCCTCCTCCTCCTCCTCCTCCTCCTCCTCTCTTCCTCCTCCTCCGCCGCCTCCTCCTCCTCCTCCTCCTCCTCCTCCTCCTCCTCCTCCTCCTCCCCTCGTTCCGGACGAAGGATAAGGAAAGGGGTGGTACGACATTTGCTGCATGAAGCCAGTTTCTGCCCCGCCGCCGGGCCCATTCCTCCATACATGGGCGCTCCCGGGCGCCAGGAGTCTCCAGGAAAGCGAGCTACGTACGTCGTACGTTAATTCTTTACCATGCCCTTTGCTATCCTACGCTTTCGGCCCCCCCCCCCCCGATACTCCTTCTCCTGTCTCCTCCATTCCTTCAAATAACTTCTCCCCGTCGCTCGCCGAGACCAGTTTGTAGGGTGGACGGGGCGTTTCAATTGAGTATTCCTCTCCAGGTAAGACCCTGAAGCTCAACCATTGGCAACAGTTTCACAGATGGAGGGCGAGTTGTTTTCAAAATGCGGCTCTCGCCTTCGCGCCTCGCACATTCGTCTTACCACACTTACAAGAGCTTTACGGATTGAGGGCGGCTCGTTTCCAAAATGTGGCTCTCGCTTTCGTTCCGCGCACATTCGGTTTAAAATTCTGCAAAAGATTCACGGATTGAGGGCGTCCCGTTTTCAACATGTGGTTCTCGCCTAAGCGACGCCCACATTCCTTGTCAAACGTTGCAAGAACTTCACGGATTGAGGGCGACCTGTTTTCAAAATGCGGCTCGCGCTTCAGCGCCTCTCACATTCGGAAGGATTCAGGATAATGCAGGTACATCAGTTACGTTGGTTCGCGGCGTTGAAGTCTCAGGAGTGGTGGTCTGGCACGATTCAGGATCGTTAAGACGCAACTGTCAGGTTGATCCGTGGCGTTGGAATCTCTAGAACAATGTTTTGGCATGCTTCAGGGTCTTGAAACGGTTGTCTTTCAACGAGGCAGTTCCCTCAATGGAAATGAACCGTTGTAGGGGTCTAGGAAGAGGGAGCTTGGAGGGAGGGTTGATTCCAACATCTCTGATGACTCTTGGGTTTACACTGGTCCTCTTCCTCCTCTTCTTTCTCCTACGGTGGGTGCGGAGGCGAGGGAGCAGGATCGGCCATTCGCCAGAGGGCAGAGTTCTTCCTCCTCCCTTCTCCCCCTCGTCTTCCATTCCTATTCCTTATGAGGAACTCCTCCCTGTCGCACCCCAAGGACAGTCGAAAGGGCGGGCCCGGCGTTTCGCTTGAGTTGTTATAATTCATGAGCCCGAAGCTTAGGAGCTGGCAGTAGCTACCCAGATGGAGGGTGGGTCGCTTCAACATGTCGCTCTCGATGTAGCGCCGTGCACATGTTTTAAACGTTGTGAGGGCTTCACGGACAGCGCACAGGTGGTTTTCCAAATGTGTCTCTCGCCTTCGTGCCTCGCACATTCGTCTTACCACAATTGTAAGAGCTTTACGGATTGATGGCGGCTCGTTGTCAAAATGTGGTTTTCGTTTGAACATTTGCTTGTACTTCGTTCGTTCGTATTCGTTCGTTTTGCGTCGCGCGCATGTGTTTGAACATTTGCAAGGACTTCTCGGATTGAGGGTGTTTTTTTCAAACTGTCGCTCTCGCCGTCGTGCCGCGTACATTCGCCATCGTGGCACTACCCCGAGTGGAAATGAATAGTTGTAGGGGCCTGTGAAGAGGGAGCGTGGAGAGGGTGCATTCCAACATCGTGGGTGAGTCTTGGGTTTGCATTGGTCCCTCCTCCTCCTCGCTCGTACTCCTCCGGCCAGGCCCCCGCGTAGGCATCAACGCGGTTGCACCCGCCTTCGCGTGTGGCTCCTAGAGCTAGTACGCCGAAGGGGGTGCACAGAAGTAGTCCGCCCCCCCCAAGATCAGCGAGAGTAAGATCGAGTGAACACGGAACCGAAGGGGCGAGAGCGAGCCAGCTCTTTCGCCCTCCGCTTTTCTTGATTACGAATCTCAACGCCCACCGGACCACCCCAACCCAACCCGAAGGCCCCGATTTGCCTTCCACTTCCAGTGGGCGAGGGCTCATGAAGCCCGTACCCCCTCTAACCCGAAATTCGGGCGAATTTGGGTCTTCGGGTTGGGTCGGGGTGGTTTGGTACGGGGTCAGAATCGCTGCTGCCCCCTTGGCCGCCGGAGGTGTTCCGCGGCGGCATCACGAACGGCGCGGAGTACTTCGCCATGTACGGGGCGGGCACCCCCCGATCCGCCGAATGCCCCCCCCCCTTGCGGGTGATCTGGGCGCCAAGGAGCGGGGGGCGATGCAGATGGGTGTCGGCCAGGGCGTTAAGTCGGGCGTTTTTTTTACAGGAGGGATATTCAGAAATAGTTGAAAAATAGTCGGGGGACGATCTTGTGAACATGTTTGAATAGTTTTGGGGCATGTTTTGAATTTCTTCTTGCAGAATCCACCTGTAGGGGGACGTGCCCGACCTGACGCAAAGGCGCGGGGGTCGATGCAAACGTGTGTCGGCCAGAGCGCCAGATCTTGCAGCTTCCTGGCGAGGCGTCCTGGCTCACCTATAGTTCCACCAGAGCATGTTCTGAGAACCTTTGTGTGGTCTGCACGACATGATCTCGGAACATTTCTGGCCGAGACTGTCATGTTTTAACACATCGCGTTCATGTCCCAACAATGCTGCTGTTGTTCCCAACCATCCTGTAGTGTTGGGTCCTCGTTTTGAAGAGACAGCACCCCGCGTTCCTCCTCCTCCTGCTGCCCCCTCCCCCCACCTCTCATCATCAGCATCATCCTTATCATCATCATCTTCATCAGCATCAACATCATGGCCGCCATCATAATCATCATCGTCATCATCACCATCCTCATCGTAATCATCATCGTCACCGTCATCATCTCATCACCATCATCAGCATCATCATCGTCATCGTCATCGTCATCGTCGTCGTCATCCTCATCCTCACCATCATCGTCGTTGTGGCGTAGTGCATAGGAAGCCGCTTTGGAGAGCCGCTTCGTGGCCCCATAGGGAGCCCCACCGAAGGCCCCAGTGGCGGGGTCCGCATGCGGTTCCACCCCCATTTCGGCACACCCCTCCCACGTTTCGTGGCCCCATAGTGCATATACCTTTCTGGCCAAGGTAGCGGGAGTATGCACCGATCCTGGGCCCAGGATGGGCCTGGCCAGAATCGGTGTATGTGCACAGTTCTCCTTCCTCTAGTGTTCACTGCCCAGGGCAGGAAGCCAGAAGTTGTGGATGTGGCTGCCTGTGCCTGTCTCCCGGAGGTGCACCGCAGGCGGCACCTTGAGACCTCCAGAGATTTCCGTGGGCCCCTGGCGGCCCAAGCACGCACAGTGAGCCACAGTCAGTCTCGCTGCCTCCACTGTCGAGCCTTAGGATGTTCGGTGTCTCTGTGCACAGCTCTCTTTCCTCTATTCGTGTGTCCTTGTGCGTCACAGGATAGGCTGGGTAGTCGAAGGCCAGACTGGCAGATTGGACCGGGCCCCAAGGGCCAATCTGGCCTGGCCAAACTGGAGGATTTGGGTTATTCGCCAGACCGGATTCGCGTTGGCTCCCTCGCCAGATTGCCCCCGTTTGCCAGATTATCTTGGGCCTGCCAGATTGGCGCCATATTGGCTTCGACTACCGAGATAGGTCACCCGAGGGGGGCGCGACGGTGACCGCGCTGGCGCGGCATCGCGGCATCGGGCGCGAGGGCGCGGGGGACAAAAGGCGCCCTCCTCCCGGGCGGCGGCACGAGGGCGAGGAAGAGAGGAGCGCGCGTGGCCCGCACAACCCGGGGGCGCGCGGCGCGGAGCTGGGCGACGCTGATGTGATGGGCCTGTGCTCCACCACCGCCGCCATCAGCTGGAGGGGCAGTCCTCCTCCCCCTCCTCTTCCTCCTCCTCCTCCTCCTCCTCCTCCTCCTCCTCCTCCTCCCTCCCCCTCCTCCCTTCCCCTCCTCCCTCCCCCTCCTCCTCCTCCTCCTCCTTCCTCCTCCTCCTCCTCCTCCTCCTCCTCCTCCTCCTCTCCTCCTCCTCCTCCTCCTCCTCCTCCTCCTCCTCCTCCTCCTCCTCCTCCTCCTCCCCCCCTCCAACTTGTGGTGATGGTGGTGGGAAACCAGCCCACCATGATAGTGGGAGCTTTTGTCATGTCGGTAGTGAGATTTGCTGTAAGATCGATCGTGAGAGCTGTTGTGAGATCGATCATTGGGTCGCTCTTGAGATCCGAAAGAGCGTGTTCTACCGCTGCTGGCGGAAAACCGGGGGGGGGGTCACTACCGGTTCGAACCCCTCCCCCCCCCCTCCCGAAAACCGGGGGGTGTCACTACCGGTTCGAACCCCTCCCCCCCCCCTAGTTCATCATGAAAAGGGGGGGGTCACTACCGGTTCGAACACCCCCCACCTCTCGAAAACCGAGTGGGGATGTGGACAGTGGTGGGGACGGTGTTGGTGGGGACAGTGGCGAGGGGACAGCGGGACAGTGGTGGGGACAGTGGGACAGTGGGACAGTGGTGGGGACAGTAGTGGTGGGGACAATGGTGGGAACAGGGGAGACAGTGGACAGTGGTGGGGACGGTGGTGGTGGGGACAGTGGTGTGGGCACAGTGGGAATTAGGTGGAAACAGTGGGACAGTGGAGGGTATAATGGTGGTGGGGACAGTGGTGAAGGCGGTGGCGAGGACGGCAGTGGGACAACGGGACAGAGGTACAGTGGGGACAGTGGTGGGGACAGTGGGGACAGTGGTGGGAACAGTGGGACAGCTCAGTGGGACAGCGGCGGAGTCTGTGGGACAGCGGGGACAGTGGGGATAGTCGGGCAGTGGTTGGGGCCGTGGAACCGTGGTGGGAACAGTGGTGGGGACAGTGGGGACAGTGCGACAGTGGTGGGGCACTGGTGGGGACACAGTGGGGACAGTGGTGGTGAGGACAGTGGTGCTGGGAACAACAGTGGAGGATGTGATGCGGACGGTGGTAGGGACCGGGAGTCGTTTGCTGGCGGTGAGTGGGGGGGTGGGGAGGGGTTCGAACCGGTAGTGATCCCCCTCCGGTTTTCGAGGGGGGGGGGGTCGAACCGGTAGTGACCCCCCCCGGTTTTCCGGATCCGGAGGGGGGGGGGCGGGGGGGGGTTCGAACCGGTAGTGACCCCCTCCCGGTTTTCGAGGGGGGGGGGGGGGGGGCGTTTAGGGGAGGGTTTTTTTCCGAGGGAGGGGGGGGGGGGTCCAGCAGGGGGGGGGAGATTTTCGGAGAGGGGGGGGGGCGACCCCCAGATTCCGGAGGAAAAGGTCGGCAATTTTCCGCAGTAAAGCGGCGGTGGATCACGCTCTCTCTGAGATCCAGGGTGGGATCGGCAGCGAGATGGATACTGAGATCGATTGTGAGACCGATTGTGAGATCGGTTTTGAGACCGGCAGTGAGATCGATGGTGAGATCGATTATGAGATCGAAGTGAGAATTATTTAAAGATCGGTCGTGAGTTCGATTGTCAAATCGATTATGAGATCGATAGTGGGATCGATTGTGTTGTCGATGGTGGGATCCGTTGTGAGATCGATCGGTCGATCGATCGATTGTGATATAGATAGCGAAAACTGTTGCGAGGTCGAAGTTTGATCAACGTGAGGTCGATTGAATGAGACGATGGTTCCGACTCCCCCCCGAACCTCCATATCATTTGGAGGATGTTCGTATAGGTACCAGTATTCCTCCCTCCGCTTCTATTCCCTCCCCTTGTGCGCCCACAGGTTCGCTTGGCTCTGGTTCGAGAGCTCGGGCGCTGTCTCGGGCGCCGCTCCGGGGCTGTTCTGGTGCTCTGGCTCTGCGGCGGGTTTGAGCGATCGTGGGAGGTGGGTATGGCCAGCCGGCCTTGGGGGCGAGCGGGACCGTGTGGGGCGCAAAACAGTGTTTGAGGCAGGTCATGGTGGCAAGCGCGTGAGGCCCTCATTTCGTGTTCCCTGCCGCGTGCCGCCTGGAGTCTCCTCTTGGGTGCCTCCTCGAAGCTGCTGGGGGCGCCCAGGTGGAGGCTCTGGACCTCTTCGGCTGCCAAGCCAGTGTTGCGGGTGCCTCCTGGAAGATGCCTGGGGCCCCCTCGTGCTCCTGCGTGCCTCCTACTTGCTGTCGGAGGTCGGGCAGGCCCAGCTGGCATCGGGAGAAACCGGCCCTGGGCGTTCCGGAACGCTCGGGAACGGCCGCGGCGTCCCGTGCATCCTCCAGAGCCGCCGGTTCTCAGAGATCCCTGATGCATCCCGATCCGATCGTGTCCCGATCCTGGTTTCGTCTTATTCTTGGGCGGAGGAGGAGGAGGAGGAGGAGGAGGAGGAGGAGGAGGAGGCGGAGGAGGAGGAGGAGGAGGAGGAGGAGGCGGAGGAGGAGGAGGAGGAGGCGGAGGAGGAGGAGGAGGAGGAGGAGGAGGAGGGTCCCGAGACTGTCGGCGAGGGTCGGCGAGCCGGTGGGGGCGTCGAGATCTCGCGCAGGCACGAGCGAAGTGAATGCGCACAGACCCCTGTCGCGTCGCGAAGAGCACGACAGTCTGTCAGTGGCGAGGTTCTGTTTCTGCGGGCCTCCACCGGGCCCCGGGAGCGTCCACGAGACAGTCCGGCGTCGAGATGCGGGTCCGACGGGGTCCAGAGCTCGGGGGGGTCCGCGCTGTGTAAAAAACAGCGCCAGGGGTCTGGGTATTGCGCTGGTTCAAGTTAGTGGACAGCACAATAGATGCACGGTCACATGTGGTGGCGGCTGCGTAGCCGACACTTGCTCCGTCCCCCCTCGTTCGCATCTCATCTTCGAGGTTCGAGGATCGAGGCTGTTAGCTGGCGCATGCCCTCTTGGGAGTTCTGGGGAGTCCCACGGACACCGACATTCGAGGATCGAGTCTTTTTTGACTCCCGGGGAGCTCCGGAGACATCCTTTTCCCCTCGCATCGCTGCTCCCCCGCTCTCTCCTCCACCTCGCCGTTTCGTCTATGTACTTCCTCGTCCTTCCTCTCACCATCCTCACGCTGCTCCTCCTCCCCGCCTTTCTCTCCCCTTCTCTCCCCCCCTCTCCCCCGCCCAGCCCCCCTGCACCTCAGCCCTCTCTTCTCCGCCCGTCCCTCCCTTCTCCTTCCCATCCGTCCTTCCTTCAGTCGCTCCCTCGCTTCACTCCCCCCACGTCTCCCCATTTCCCCCCTCACTCTTTGGGGCAAGGACCGTCTGTCCCAGCAATCCTGGCAGCTTACCACGGAATATGTAGGACGCGAGAGAATGTTTGAATAACAGAAGCATTTTCGGACGCGAGAATGCTCGAATAACAAAGACATGGCCCTAGAGCTTTGTGGGCTTCGGAAACGGCAGGGCCGTTTTTTCACCGTTTCCCAAAAAGTGTTCCTTGGAAATGGAAGCGGCAAAAAGACGGCCACCGGAAACGGCAGAAAAATGGCTCCAGGATTGGCACCGGAGCTGGAACCGGTCAAAAAACTGCGACGGAGCCGTAACAAAAGCGGCGTCGGAACCGGCAACCAAACGGCAAAACGGAACCAGTAAAAAAACGGCCTTGTCGTTTCCAGGGCCCATTATATCTTCACTCCCCGCATTCCATCACTCTCCGCATGCCCCCTCCCTCGCTCCCGCGCTCCCTCGCCGCTCTGGCCCCCGCCGCGTCCGCCAGGGGTTCCAGGACTGGTCCTACTCGCAGCTCGGGATGATGCACGTCACCCTGGAGCTCGGCGACGAGAAGTCCGCCCATTCGCCTCCCCCAAGAGGTAGCGAGAAGGAGGGCGGTGAGGACGAGCGGGGCGGAGTGGAGATGAGGGCGGTAAGCAGGGCCTCGCATCGCGGGAGCACAGACATGATGCAAGGCGCGTGGGTTAGCGACGATTCCGCGTTCCGTGCAGAAGCGGCGAGCTCCGTCGTCAAATCGGGCGGCATTACCGCCATGTTTTGCGGGTCATCTCCTTTGAGCCGTGTATCTAAAGCCCACGCGCCAGATCGACCGATTTTTAATCAATGATAGCGTGCGCCCTATTGCAGTGAGTGGCTCAAGAGGTTTACGCCATTATGCCGGCACTCCTGTCAAGTATAGAAGGTCATGATAGGTTCGATGCTCCGTTTTGGTGTCAGCACGAGCGCGAGACGCAGAAAGTTCACAGCCCGCGAAAGCGGGAGTCACGGCGTGGTGCCAGAAGGGAACCAGCACGCAGATCTCCAAACACGTGTGCGCCAGAGCGCTTCGACCCCGAAGCGTGTGTGGCCCTGAAGGAGGAGGACACCCAGGACATCGAGGGGGAGATTCGTCGTCTCGCCGGAGCCACCTCGGACCTCGGCATGCCCGAAGCTCTCGCGCGCAAGGCGCCAGAAAGGGAAGTGGCCGCGGAGGGAAGAGGTCCTGCTTGAGGAGGAGGAGGAGGAGGAGGAGGAGGAGGAGGCTTGTGTTTGTTTGTGTGTCTTCGGGCTCCCGGGGCGCTCCCCTGGCCCTGGGAGCGTCCAAACACGACTCGAGATAAGAATGTCGTCGCGGGAGGGAGCGCCCCGGGCTCCATGACCCGTTTCCTTCAGTACCCTGATGTTCAATGCCATGTCAGATCCCATTCGGTTTCCTCCGCTTGGCACGAGGGTTGGACGACGATGACAAGGACAACGATGACAAGGATGACGACGAAGAGGAGGACGAAGAACATTCGGCGAGGACGAGGGCGACCCGCGAGCAGGGAGGGGGACGACGACATGCGAGGAGGGAGGAGGAACGAGAAAAGATGAGACTAGAGGATGAGGACGACGAGGAGCGAGGAGCGAGGAGCGAGGAGCGAGGAGGAGGAGGAGGAGGAGGAGGAGGAGGAGGGGGAGGAGGAGGTGGAGAAGGAGGAGGAGGAGGACGGGGGGCCGACGACGACGACGACGACGAAGGCGAGGACGACGCACAAGGAGAAAGGGGGAAGAATTTGCACTGAGGATGACAGCGATTGCCTGCGGCGGCGGCCGCGAACGACAACTCCTGAGATGCGGCGTGGCGAAAGATTTGCAGCAGCGCGGAAGATACGCCCGAAGCCACGGACCCAGAACCGGAAAAACTGGGCGAAAACGCCTTGGCTCCTGAGCGCTGCGCCAGGGGGGGGGCCGACAAAAGCGGGGGCAGCGAGGGCTGCAGAGGAGAGGCCCTGGGAGGCCCCCAGAGGGGCCTCCTGGAGCCTCTAGATGATGAGCCCTTTGCGGCCCACGAGGGGGCCCACGGGGCCCGAACAATGCGCCCTTCTTCCCCCCATGTATCGCCCCCCACCTCAAGCGACGCCCACCCCAAGGCTCGCTAAGAGTTGAGGCGCCAGGACCTCAGGGCCGGGCGAGGGCGAGCTGGCGGTCGACGGCGGCAACGGCCGGTTGACGGTTGCCGTCGGCGTCCGCGACGGGTCCTCCGTGCCTTCCCTCGCCCCCTCGCCCCGCCACGCCTGGCCTGAGGAGGGAAGGGAGGAGGGAGGAGGTGGAGGAGGAGGAGGAAGAGGTGGAGGAGGAGGAGGTGGAGGAGGAGAGGAGGAGGGAGGAGGGAGGGAGGGGGGGAGGAGGGAGGGAGGGAGGGAGGGAGGGAAGGAGGGAGGGAGGAGGAGGAGGGATGAGGGAGGAGGAGGAGGAGGAGGAGGGATGAGGAGGAGGAGGAGGAGGACGAGGAGGAGGATGAGAGGGAGGATGTCCGCGACGGTTGACGGACGTCGGCGGCGGCCGTGGCGGCGGCGTGGGGCGGCGGGTTTGGCGGCGGCGCCGCGGCAGCGCGGCCCGCGGCAGGTCGCCCGGGCCGCAGCGTCTCGGGGCCGAGTGGGCGGCGAACCGCCGGGCGTTGTACGGGCTCATCGCGCAGGCGCCGCGGGCGCGGCGAGAGAGCAGCGGGGGCAAGAGTATGTAGGGCACGATGTCGTTGGCAGCCCGTCAGTGTGTTGGCTCTGTCGTTTCGTCCGAAGGCCCCTGGCGTTTCTTCAGCAGCAGCACGCCGATGGGTTCCCACGACGGCGTGTCGTTGCTACTGCCGTCGCGCCCCGGCGGCTGCGTGTCGGGGCCTTCGGTAGTAAGTCGTGGGGGCCTTGCATGTCCTCGTGTGCATCAGCGTACGCTGGCGGGTGGTGCCGCACGTCATGCCTTCCACGGCGAGCTTAGCCACGCTGCCCGAGCAGCGTCGGAAGGGAAGCGACGAAGAGAGGTGGCGTTTTGGAGACATGAACGCCGAGAAAAGGATCACCTTGGCAGCCTGGGCCCACCGCCATTGCAAATGACGTGCAACCGAGAGTTCTCGCGCCTGCGCCGCAATTGCCCCGAGGAGTTGAAAGAGCACAAGTCAGTCCGTACCTCGTACGATGCATACGGCCGGACCGAGGTATAAGATCGAGGTTCGGGAGCCTTGAGACGGGGGTCAATGCAAACGGGGGTAGCGCCCGATCTTGCAGGATCCTGCAGAGCCAGGGTCGCATTGACCCGGGTTTGGGTGCAGGATCTTGCAGGATTTTGCAAGGCCTGACTGACCCTGGTCTGGATTGAACCTGGTCAGAAGATCCCCGAGAGGTCGGTTCCGGGAGTGTAGCCTAATGTCCTTCGTGTTTCTTGGATGTTTTGATGCATCTTGGGGAAGCGTCCCCTTGAGTGATCTTATGGTTTGGGGTGCTTGTGCAGGCGGATAGTCTCATGTTCTTGAAGGGTGTTCTTACGTACAAGGTCTGACCGTAGCAGCCAAGGCAGCCGAATCCGTCAAGAGTTCGGCCGCGCCTGGACTTTGCAGGCGCAATGCCATAGCCAGATGTGACACAAATCACCAATCTCACAACGCCGAGCGTTGCACAATTAAGGTTTGATGTAATTGCCAAGGAGGAGTTAGGCAAGCAGTGGAGGCAGCCAGGGCCAGGAAGAGAGCCAGAATTACGGGAGACAGCTTACCATTCAGCGGGGGAGTGACCACTGGGTATACGAATGACATCATTTAAGATGCATGGGGTAATGGGGGTCGAGCTGTTCAGCACGGAGAAGGAATTGGGGCTCAAATGGCAAATGGGGCTATTCAATTGCGAAGGCCTTGCGGCCAATGCCGCCGACCCTGAAGGCGGGACCTCCCCCAGGACAGCCGCTGGCGACTGGCCGAGGGACCCGCGAGGCGCGGGGGGAAAGCGCGTATCTGGGTGGCGACCCTCCCCGGGACCCCCCCTGGACCCCCCCCGGGGACCCCCTTGGGACCCCTCCCGGGACCCCCAACCCCGCGGCGCGGAGAAGTGATCCAAGGGAAGGGGTTTCGTGTTGATTCCTCTCCTATGGCATTCTGCTCCAAAAAGTCGGCTCTTGGGGCGCTCTTGAAGCGCTCTTGGGCGCTCTGCGGGCCGTCTCGGGGCTCTCTTGAGCCTCTCTTGGAGCCCTCCTGGGCCATCTTGGAGCCATCTTGAGGCCTCGGATGGCCATCGGAAGCAAGCAGGCGAGAAAGCCAAAAACATTGATTACCCTAAGGTTTCGTAAGGCGTTTGGCCTCTTCGGGGCCTCCTGGGGAAGCTTTTTGGAAATTTGGAGCCGTCTTGGAGCGGTCTAAAGGCCTCTTAGAGCATCGTGGGAGCCATCTTGAGGCATCTTGGGATATCTGGAGCCATTTGGGAGGTCATCTTGGTCTCTCCCAGGCGCTCTAGGATTCATCTTAATCAGTGCCCCCCTCCCTCCAGGAGCCCAACTTGAGGCCAAAACCTAAGTCGAATCAATGATTTGGGCATTCTCGCCAAGCCCTCTTGTAGCGTCTTGGGTGCCTCTGGGGGGCCTCCTGGGTGTCTCTTGGGAGCCTCTTGGGGGCATCCTGGGGGCCTCATGGGGGCCTCATGGGGGGGCTCCTGGCCACCTCTTGGGCCCTCTTGGGGCACCCTCGGGAGTCTTGGGAGCGCTGCTGGGGCCATCTCGGAGGAGATCGATCAAAGAAGGGGGGGTTCTTAATTTGGGCTCCCTCTCCAGGAGGCCAAAATGGGGCCCAAATCTTAGTAAAATCGATGATTGTGACTTCCTCGCCGAGGCCTTTTTGGACGCTCCAGCTACCCGCGGACCCCCCAGTCCAGGTCCAGGGGAGGGGGTCGGGGGAGGGGTCAAGATTTCCTCTCCGCCCGCAAGCCGTCTCGCTCAATCCCACCCGCCCTCCCAGCACATACGTAGCACCCGAGTCTGGCCCGAGCCTCAACATATTCAGCAGTCGTCTTTGGATGGGCAGCTAGTGAGGGCCAATCCGCCGCCGCCGCCGCCGCCGCCGCCGCCGCGCCGCTGTCGCCGCCGCCGCCGTCGCCGCGGTCGCCGCCGCGCCGCCGCCGCCGCCGCCGCCGCCGCCGCCCCCGCTGCCAAATTGCCGCTGCAGCCATCGCCACTGCCGCCGCCGCCACCGCCGCCGCCGCCGCAGCCGCCGCCACCGCCGCCGCCGCCGCAGCCGCCGCCGCAGCCGCAGCCGCCGCTGCCGCCGCCTACGCCGCCGCTGCCGCCACCGCCGCCGCCGCCGCCACAGCCGCCGCAGCCGCCGCAGCCGCCGCCGCCGCAGCCGCAGCCGCCGCCGCCGTCGCCAAGTGTACTCTGTATAGTTTGTTGACAGGGATGGTGGGGGGATGCCTCATCGGAGTGGCTGGGCATGCTCCGAATTGGAGTCGGAGTGTGTTTTGCATGTTTTTTGGTACAAGGGATGGTGGGGGGGGCCCTCATGGTTTCTGGTTGGCGACCAGTCGCCTGGGGGAGGGGGTCGTTATTAATGGGGAACAGTGATAAAACCTTCCCCGAAGGGGAAGAAGAGGGTTGGAAGAGGAAGCCCCCTAGACCACCTACGCCCTAAAGAGCTGGTGAGATTCCCTGGTCCTGAGTGCAGTTTTCCTTAGGTTGCCCTCAGGCTTCCGATGCGAAATTTGTGGAGGAAAAAAGAAGTCCACGTTTCATATTTTGGGCTGTACGTCATCCGCCTTCCCGCTCCACGTTTCTACCTGCTCCTTCCGACCGACGCTCCTCCCCCTGGAGGCCACCGGGGCGAGGGGCGCCCCACCCCCCTTCCCTGTATCCCCGCGCGCGGGCGGCGGCCCAGAGGTGCACGCCGGCGCCCGCGGCCGCGTGCTCTGCGCCTGCGGCGCCGGCCCGGCCCGGCCGGCGACCAAGGCCACCGTCCGTCCTCGCGGCTGCTGTCGCCGGCGGTTCCAAGGTGGGGTTTGGAGGGGTTTCGCAGGCCTGGAGGTTGGCACCAAGACCAGGATCGGCGCCGTGCCTCCACCGAGAGAAGAGGGCCCCGATCTCGGTGATGGTGGTACGTACTCTGGCTTCCAGGGTGGCCGAACCATGACCACCAACACTGGAATCGAGGATCATTTCCCCTTGTGGAGGCAGCCACCTGTGTTGGTGTTGGTGCCGATTTTCAGGCCTCCAAGGATGGGGTCCTGAGGGCGAGGTGCTTCAAGCATTGCAAATCCACCCTCGGATCCCTTCCTATCCTCAGGGCCCCATCCCTCAGGCCCCCATCTTGTGCCCCGTCCCATCAGGTCCCCTATCCTCAGGGCCCCATCCTCAGGTCCCCATCCTCAGGGACGGCGGTCGATGCTTCAAACAGTGTATATCCACCCTCGAATCCCTTCCTGTCCTTAGGACCCCTCAGCGCCCACCATCCCACCCCCACCAAACCCGAAGACCCTGCCCTCCATTTCGACTGGGGGGCGCTCGGGGAGTATTGAAAAACATACATCCGAAGCCCGTGCCCTCCCCAACCTGAAGTTCGGGTCCTCGGCTTGGGTTGAGGTGGTCTGGCATCAGGAGGAAAAGAAACACACAGACACAATTAATCCTCGATTTGCCAGAGAATATGGGAAAATATGGGAAGTGGGCGGGAAGACAAAAATCTAGAAAATATGGGAAAATATGGGGCATCTTTTTATTTGTGTGTATTTATTTGTGTGTCCTGGGGCCCCTTCATGGCAGGTCGTCAGGGCCCCATCTTTGCACCACCGCTGTCGCTCCAAGGACCGGCGGCGACGACGTGGCCGCGGCCGCCGCAGCGGCCACAGCACGGCTCTCTCGCCGCCGCCGCCCCTGGCGGCGGCCGCCCCCACGGCCGCCCGGCCGCCCCCACGGTCGTGGTCGGCGTCATCCAGGACGGGAAAAAACACACAGACACAATTAATCGTCGATCCCCAGGAAAATATGGGAAAATATGGGAAGTGGGGGGGAAGACAGAAACCCAGAAAATATGGGAAAATATGGGGAATCTTTTTATTTGTGTATTTATTTGGGAGCCCCCCCCTCTGAGATCTACCTCAACCACCTTTTTTCGATAACGTGTTCTCCAGCCGCTGATGGGAGAGCGAGATGGCGGGAGAAGTGGAAATTCGGGAGGAGTGGGAAGGCGGGAGAGCGGGAGAGCGGGAGAGCGGGAGAGCGGGAGAGCGGGAGAGCGGGAGAGAGGGAGAGCGGGAGAGCGGGAGAGCGGGAGAGCGGGAGAGCGGAGAGAGCGGGAGAGCGGGAGAGCGGGAGAGCGGGAGAGCGGGAGAGCGGGAGAGCGGGAGAGCGGGAGAGCGGGAGAGCGGGAGAGCGGGAGGCGGGAGGGCGGAGAGGGCGGGAGGGCGGGAGAGCGGGAGAGCGGGAGAGCGGGAGAGCGGCGGAGGCGGCCGCCCCGGCCGCCCCCCCCCCCCGGCACTCCTGCTCTCCCGCTCTCCCGCTCTCCCGCTCTCTCCCGCTCTCCCGCTCTCCGCTCTCCCGCCCTCTCCCGCTCTCCCGCTCTCCCGCTCTCCCGCTCTCCCGCTCTCCGCTCTCCGCGCTCCCGCTCTCCCTCTCCGCTCTCCCGCTCTCCCGCTCCCGCTCTCCCGCTCTCCCGCTCTCCGCGCTCTCCCGCTCTCCCGCTCTCTCCGCTCTCCCGCTCTCCCGCTCTCCCGCTCTCCCGCTCCCGCTCTCCCGCTCTCCCGCTCTCCCGCTCTCCCGCTCTCCCGCTCTCCCGCTCTCCCGCTCTCCCGCCCTCCCGTCTCCCGCTCTCCCGCTCTCCCTCTCCCGCTCTCTCCCGCTCTCCCGCTCTCCCGCTTTCCTCCCGCCCTCCCGCTCCAGGCGCGATGAGGAGGAGGAGGACGATGATGACGATGAGGAGGAGGAGGAGGAGAAGGAGGAGGAGGAGGAAGAGGGCTGTATTGGACTTTATTGGAAAATGGAGCAAGCCCCCTCGCGGCCAGCGAAAGCCCCTCGCGGAAGAGCGCTCACTTCGGCCTACACAAGAAGCGAGTTTGCATCAAGGAGTCCAAAACAGGGTCGTCTCACATGCGGATTAACGTGGACGTGCTCAAACGCTTCATTGCAGGCGAGGAGCTGATTGTGAGAGCCAACTTTGGATTCTCCAGCGAAGTCCGCTTCAACAGAATGAAGAAGCAGCAGAGCTGCAACTACGACGACGTGGCCCCCATCATGTCAGTTCCCCGAAGCGTTGCAGCGCTGGACCTGGAAGGGCACGGAGAGGAGGCAGCACCAAGGAAGTCCCCCACGGAGTCTGTGGATCGTCGTTTTTTGACGTCGGCTGTGGGCCTTGCGACACTGGTCACTGATGTCAAGGACGTGGACCATGAACATGGCCGCTTTCTCAAAATCGCATCGGATGTTTTAGAGACTATACTATATTGGCATGCCCCGCTGCAGCCCATGTTTATTTGAGAGAAATTCTACAACCAACTTGGGATGAACTCGGGGACTCGTCAGCCATTGTGGGAACGCTCGAACCAGAAAATCTCGATGACCACATGAAGGTGTCGACGCGTTGGTACATCCGCCGCCTGACCAACCAGCAGTGCGAGCCCAGGCCCAAGTGCGTCATGGACTCCTCATCGGGGGCCGGCAACGGGCGATCCGGCGGCAGCGACACCGACTGGGACACGCTTGCTGGCTGCCTGAAAAAGTTGTGGCAGGAAGAAGGCAAGAAGACGCCCGCCGAGGCGCGGAAGTTATCGAAAGGCAGGGGTAGACAAGTGGGGGACTGGAAAGTTGCAAAAGAGTTATGCAGTGGACTCGACGTTCCAAGAGCTTCCGCGCATGCGAAATTTGTGTCGCTGGCGAAAAGTTGCGGGCCGTTGGCCGATTACTTGGTCCAGGAAGACACCGACGTAAACTTTTTCGGCAAGCAGCAGCGCTACGCGCTACTATACCCAGTCATGGCTGACGTGATGCTGCAGCTTTCCAGAGATTTCAAGATTCCTGCGCCGGCGGCGCCCCCCAGCGAAAGATGGCTCATGGGGGCTCGCCCTGGGGACGCAGACCATTTCTTGTCTGACGACGAACAGGAGCTTCGCCAGATCGGCAGCTCCGTGGTCTGCTCGGTTGCAGACGTCGTGGACATCGCCGCCTTGATTGGCCGCGTCGAGTCTGGAGCCGACAGGCCACAGGTCCAGGTTCAGGGCTATGCTCGCTTATTTGACAATCGGGGAACAGCCTCCACGGAGGCCGCTGCAGACGGCGAGCAGCGGCCACTGAAGAGTCTCCTTCGAAAGTACGTGAAGCAAGGTTATGGGCGACTTCATACAGTGGGCCCTTCTCTGCAGAAGATAACCAGGGAAGCTCGGTGCGCCGCTCTGGCTGGGATTCCAGGAGGCGTTTTAGAACTCGACATAAAGGTTGCGTTCTTCAGCTTGTTGGTTGTGGCCTTAAAGCGGCACGGGCAGATCTGCGTCGAGGCAGAGTTCCCACTGCTGTGCGACATCGCCAGCAACTGGGGCGGGTGGAAGAGTTTTGTCTCTGGGTACTTCGACGTCGGGGTGGACGTCGCCAAGAAGCTTCCCATCTCGGCGACCAGTCCCTACGGGCGGCAATCGCCAGATCCAGCGCAGCAGCCTGACTGGCTTCCGCATTTGGATTGCGTGCAAACAGAAGCATCGAATGCCTGTCGATTTCTTCTCGAGCACGACGCTCTTTATCAGGAAGTTGCGAAAGCAAGGCCTGAATGCAGCTCGCTCCACATCTTTCTGGGCGAGCTGGAGTGCCGGGTGATGATGAGTATGAAGCATATTTTAGAGGAAGCAGGGGCCGTGCCAATTTCTCTGGTCTACGACGGCACCTACTTCAGGCCAATGGGGCTTGACGTGCACGACGAGGGCTTCATCGGACTTGTGACTGCAGTCGAAGCCGAGCACGGCGTATCCTTGCATCTGAAAGACCTAAGCGGCGCGGAGATACCCTGGAGGAGTTCCGCTCCCGAGCCTGGAGAAGGGGCCCGAGGTCAGGGTGGCGCCCCTCCTTCGCCGCCGTGCCACAACGATTTCTCTTCTCTCCTGGCGGCAGCTTGCGAGAAGTCGCAGCAGAAGCTCCAGGCTGTCCCTGGAGAAAATATGTGCGCTGTGAGCGCGCTCGCCAATATGGATTTGGTTGCGGGGGGGCCGAGCCAGTCAAACTTCGCCTGTGGACCATATTATTACCGACAGTTGCAACATATTTATCCTTCTCTGGCGTTCCAAGAGGTGCAGCTGAGCGACGTGATCTGCGCCGACCCCGCCCACTTCTTCCTGTTGCACATTGGGGCGCCAGGAACTCGCGGCCACGCTGTTGGTCTTCGCGCCCACGGGGGCTCGCAGCAGATGCTGGTGTTCGACTCGCACCAGGACTTCGTGATGCAGATTGGCGATGAGGCCTTGTACGACCTGGTTACCCACTGGGACGAGGGCCGACGCCATGCTCGCCTGCTGCAAGTTACCGAAGACGGGCCTGTCGATGGCAACGCCGAGTCAGATTTGTTGGACTTGATTGCTGGCTCCTCTCGGCCGTGCGTGAAGAAGCCTGCGGGTCAAGGTTGCTTGAGGCGGCCCGCCGCAGCTCCGAGTTTCCCGACGCCCAAGAAAGGGCGGGCAAGGGCCGCCGCCCGCAGCCTGGTCGGGCGAACGGCAAAGGCGTCAGCGAAGTCTAAGGCATACAGGAACACAAAGTACGTGCGCCACGGCAAGCCGACGACGAAGAGCAGGGGCGACCGCGACAAGTGGAGCATCGACCTTGAATCCATCTTGGAGATGCCTGACGATAAGCTCTACCGCCGGTGCATCCGCGATAACACCCTGGACAACAAGGAGGGCAAGATGTGTCTTCACTGCTGCAAAGGTTTGGCGGCTGGGAATCAACGCAAACACGCTCGCTGCAGACGGGGGGAGGGAGCTTGGGGATGAGGGGTCGCGAGGTTGGCGGGCGTGGCCGTTGATTCCCACTGCGCCTAGAGGTAGACTCGGCTGTCTTCGCAAGGTGAAAGGCCGCGGCCTTCGGTGCAGGTGCAACCGCAAGGGCTGTCAGAAGTTCACTGTTCCACATGCTCATCACCCCGTCTTCTCTACTGGGTGGGGGGCCACGCATTCGCCTTTCAAGAAGCAGGTGGCCATCTTGTTCAGCATTCTAGCAGGAGGAAGCAATCCCACGGTTCGCAGATTGATCTCTTCCGCAAACCACAAGGCGATCGAAAGGATCTCGATTGCCGTGAAGAAGCAGCGCGAGAAGTTTGTCAAGAAGCGAGAGAAGACGATCGTTTTCGGGGTTGGCAACGACCGCGACTGGAGGGACGCTGAAGCAGATGAAGCAGTCTTTGGATGGGCAGCCAAGGCGGACGACCCCGAGAGCGTGGAATGGGAACAATGGGCGGGCATCGTGGAGCGAGGCCGGCCCGAGTCGCTGGTGCTGGCGAAGACTACCGCGGCTCCCACGGTGAAGAGGGCTCCTGGGCCAGGCGCAATCAGGAAGGTCGATTGGGCGCCTCTGGCAAACCGCTATTTGAAAGGTAGGCGCATTATTTTGCATACGGACCGCGCTAAGAGCTACGCCATGCGAGTTGAGGGAGTGTTGCACGATTCAGTGCGGCACTGCAAAAAGAGAGTGAAAAATAATGGCAAGTGGGTGTGGATCAAGCCGTGCTACGCGCGCTTGGCAACTCATAAGCTTCCATGTGGTAGGAAGTTGCGCACCAAGGCCGGCTCCCAGGTTATCGACAGCGCTTGGAAATACATCCGCTCAACCTTGGGTGGCCAGACAATGGCGCCCAATTCTGAGACGGCCGCCACTGCAATTCGCAGCGCCCAGTGGCTTTACTGGCACAGGGGCAAAGACCTTTGGGCCGAGATGGGATCCACGTTCTGTGCCAACTTTTGGCGGAGGTAAATTGTTACTGCAAACTTGGACAGCGATGGTGTCCTCGTACTTCTTTGCTTTGAAAAGGGCTTCAAGGTAGATCTCAGAGGGGGGGGCGCGCATTTATTTGTGTGTCCCAGTTTCCCTTCAGTCATCCAGGGTCGGAATACAGCCGGGGCCCTGCAGAAGGAGCCCTTTTCGTTGGAGAGGGGCTCGGTGTCCCTTGATTCTTCTGCAGTTTGCCTTCGGTTTTCCTGAGGTTCTCCGTGGGAAATCGAACTTCAGCTCTGGAGAAAAGGGGCCTCGTTCCTTACTCAGGGTTCCTTAGGTCAGCGCCCCGACTGTAGGGAATGGTACCGATGCCGCTGCCCCTGCCGCGCTCTCGCCAACGTGAGCCGCCTGGGAGGCCCTCGTCGCCAGGGCCGGGCCCGCCTGGAAGTTCTGGCGAGGGCGCAGCCTTGGAGAGGTCCAGGGAGTAGCGGCATCGCTCGAGGGTCACAAGTCTGCGTAGCGTAAGCACCGGCTGTCCACAATGCGGCGTAACATCGTGGGCGAAGAACATACCCGGCGTAATATTCGGGGGCGACGAAGAGGGGGGTGATGGGCTTAGTGGACCCTGGAAACGACAGGGCCGTTTTTTACCAGTTCCGATTTGCCGTTTTTTGATTGGTTCCGACGCTGTTTTTTTTACCTGTTCCGTCGCCGTTCTTTTGCGGGTTCCCGCTCCGGTTCCACTCTTGGAGCCGTTTTTGTTGCCGTTTCCGGTCACCGTTTTTTGCCGTTTCCATTTTCAAGGGGCACTTCTTCGGAACCGGTGAAGAAACGGCCCTGCCGTTTCCGGGGCCCACTGAGGTGATGGTTATGGGCGGGGGAGGATTACCATTGATTTTTTTGGTTACAGTACAGCTTTAATTGGTTTCGGAATTATTTCTGTAGTGCGCACTGTATGCAATTACATCAATAATTGTGTCGGGAATTAATAATGTAGGCTCGAAATATTCTTGGCGTCGTAAAAAAACAAAACAGACCAACCACCAAAACGAAATTCATTTCTAACTCTCGAAATTCCTTATTCAATTCCTTGTTAACTCCTTTTTTCCTTCCTGGCCCAGACCTGTCGGCGTCGTAAAAAAACAAAACAAAAATCAGCCCCCCAAAAAACGAAATTCTTTTCTAACTGTTGAAATTCCTTATTAAGTTCCTTTCTAACCCCTTTTTCCTTCCTGCCCCAGACCTCTCGGCGTCGTGAAAAAACAAAACAAAAAACAACTACCAAAAACTAAATTCCTTCCTAACTCTTGAAATTCCTTATTAAATTCCTTTCTAACTCCTTTTTCCTTCCTGGCCCAGACCTCTCGGCGTCGTGAAAAAAAAAAAAAAAACAGAACAAAAAAACAACACCAACAACGAATTTCTTTTTAACTCTGGAAATTCCTTATTAAATTCCTTTCTAACTCCTTTTTCCTTCCTGGCCCAGACCTCTCGGCGCGTAAAAAAACAGAAAACAGCCCAAAAAAACGAAATTCCTTTCTAACTCTTGAAATTCCTTATTAAATTCCCTTCTAATTCATTTTTCCTTCCTGGCCCAGACCTCTCGGCGTCGTAAAAAAAACAAAACAAAAAACAATTTCAAAAAAAACGAAATTCCTTTCTAACTCTTGGAAATCCTTATTAAATTCCTTTCTAATTCCTTTTCCTTCCTGGCCCAGACCTCTCGGCGTCGTAAAAAAACAAAACAAAAAAACACCACCAAAAACGAAATTCCTTTCTAACTCTTGAAATTCCTTTATTAAATTCCTTTCTAACTCCTTTTTCCTGCCTGGCCCAAACCTCTCGGCGTTGTAAAAAATGAAACAAAAAACAACCCAAAAACAAAATTTCTTTCTAACTCTTGAAATTCCTTGATAAATTCCTTTCTAACTCCTTTTTTCCTTCCTGGCCCTGACCTCCCGGCGTCGTAAAAACAAAACAAAAAACAGCCACCAAAAATGAATTTCTTTCTAACTCTTGAAATTCCTTATTAAATTCCTTTCTAACTCCTTTTTCCTTCCTGGCCCAGACCTCTCGGTGTCGTTTAAAAAAACAAAACAAAAATAATCCAAAAAAGCGAAATTCCTTTCTAACTCTTGATATTCCTTATTAAATTCCTTTCTAACTCCTTTTTCTTTCCTGGCCCAGACCTCTCGGCGTCGTAAAAAAACAAAACAAAAAACAATTTCCAAAAAACGAAATTCCTTTCTAACTCTTGAAATTCCTTATTAAATTCCTTTCTAACTCCTTTTTCCTTCCTGGCCCAGACCTCTCGGCGTCGTAAAAAACAAAACAAAAAACCACCACCAAAAACGAAATTCCTTTCTAACTCTTGAAATTCCTTATTAAATTCATTTCTAACTCCTTTTTCCTTCCTGGCCCAGACCTCCCGGCGTCGTTTCTTTTTTGTTTAAAAACAACACCCAAAACGAAATTCCCTTCTAACTCTGGAAATTCCTTATCAATTTCCTTTCTAACTCCTTTTTTTCCTTCCTGGCCCAGACATCTCGGCGTCGTTAAAAAAACAAAAAGCGACCCCAACAAAGAAATTCCTTTCTAACTCTTGAAATTCCTTATCAAATTCCTTTCTAACTCCTCTTTCTTCCCCGGCCCAGACCTCCTGGCGTCGTAAAAAAACAAATTTAACGCAAAAAAACTGAATTCCTTTCTAACTTTTGAAATCCCTTATCAAATTCCTTTCTAACTCCTTTTTCCTTCCTGGCCCAGACCTCCCGGCGTCGTAAAAAAAAACAGAAAAAAAACGCCGCGCGAAAGCTTCGTCGCAGCTACAGCTACAGCTACAGCTACAGCATTAATTGCTCAGCGAATTATTTACTGTAGCACCCTACAGTACAACTACAGCATTAATTGCTCAGCGAATTATTTCTGTTAGGGAAAAAAATCAATAGTATTTTGGCCGAGGCCAGGATGTCTCCCCAGATCTCCTGGCGCCCATTCCTAGTTAAGTCCCGTTCCCACGGCCGCGCACCTGGGCACATGATTGAGGAGGAGGCGGGGGAGGAGGAGGAGGAGGAGGTGGAGGGGGAGGAGGAGGAGGAGGAGGAGGAGGAGGAGGAGGAGGAGGAGGAGGAGGAGGAGGAGGAAGGGAGGGAGGAGGAGGAGGAGGAGGAGGAGGAGGAGGAGGAGGAATAGAGGAGGAGGAGGAGGAGGAGGAGGAGGAGGAGGCTGGAGGAGGGAGGAGGGAGAAGAGGAAGAAGAGGAAGAAGAGGAAGAAGAGGAAGAAGAGGAAAAAGAGGAAGAAGAGGAAGAAGAAGAAGAAGGAGGAGGAGGAGGAGGAGGGAGGAGGAGGGAGAAGGGAGGAGGGAGGAGGGAGGAGGGAGGAGCGAATCCGCTGCTGTGCACCATGCGGCCCGTGTCCGCGGCCCGTGGGGCCCACGGGCCGCGGATCTTGCGGACACTCGAGCAGTGGCGTAGCTCCCTGGCTCGCCTACAGGCCCTACCAAACAGTGTTCTGAGAACCGCTCGTGGTCTCCACGAAATGTTCTTAGAACACTTCTGGCCGGGACTGTCTTTGTTTTAACACATCGGGCGAATGTTCTAAGGACTTGTTTATGTTCTCGGAACAGCGTTGGATTCCAAGAACATTCCGTGGTAGGACTATAGGAAGGACGGTCCCTGCTCAAGACACGGGGCGTTTTCTGGCGGCTGCCCGGCGCGGAAGGCCTCCGAGCGGCTGCGCATCCGCGCCCCCAGAGCCCAGACTGCGAGCGCGCGGCTGCGGACATGTTCGCCGCTCGTGCCCAGGTGCTGAGCTGGGGGGGGCTCTGCGTCGATGGAGACACGAACGAGAATCACGATGCAAGGGCAGCAACTGCAGCAGAAGGTGACGCTGGCGAGGACGAGATGGAAGAAGGCAGCACGGACGATAACATTTTGTAGGAGGAGGGAGTGGAAGACGGTGCGAATGCAGGAGCGAACACTCGAGGCTCGAGCAGGGCTTTCGGGCGTGCTCGCTGGCCCTCGCTGGCTTTGAGTCGGGCCTGTCTCTCTACAGGAGGAGTACTCCCAAATAGTCCAGAGAATAATTACTCCGGGGACGACTTTTGGAGTATTTTTTTGTTTTGCCACGTTTGAGCATGGTCTGCGTATTTGTTGTTTGTCATCCAAAGTCCCCCGTAGCGGGACACGCCCGACCTAAAGCTAGCGTTATGTCTGGCCTGTCCCCCTACAGGGGATTTTTTTGACGAAAAATGAGAAACACACACCAAGAATACACCAAAAAGGTCGAACAATAGTCAAACAATAGTCCCCATACTATTTTTGTGATATTTTTTGGTGATCTGTGTGGTTTTTCTTATGTTTCATCGACAATCCCCCCGTAGCGGCTGCAGCTAGCGTGTGCCAGCCTCGGGGTGCTCTCTCTCTCTCTCTCTCTCTCTCTCTCTCCGGCAGGTGTGCCTCCCGCGCCGAGGGAGGCGTCCGGGCCCGAGAGATGTGTGTCCCGACGGCAGAGTGCCAGTGGTCACCCTCCCACCAAGCCACCCCAACCCAACCCGAAGGCCCAACTTTACCTTCGATTTCCAGTGGGGGGGGGGGGTCGGGGAACATTGAAAAAACACGTGGAACCCGTACCCCCCCCCCCAGCCCGAAGTTCGGGTCAAATTCGGGTCTTCGGGTTGGGTTGGGGTGGTCTGGTAGGTAGTCAAATGGGGATCCGACAAGAGTTTGTCACCAGGGCGCGTTTCCCGATTCGGGAGGGAAACGCACACGCAGACGCACTCACAGGGGGAAGACAGACCCGAAAATATGGGAAAATACGGGGAATCTGTTTATCTGTGTGCATTTATTGGTGTGTCCTGGGGCCCCTTCAGAGATGGCCCCCGCCCCCGAGAGGAGGGCGCCCCCGCCCCGAGGCCACGCTGACGTTCCTGCCCGGCGCGCCGCCCCGCGCGTGCGGCGCGGGCTGCGGCGCCGCGCCGCCGCCGCTGGCGCAGGCCCCGCCGCGCCCGCCCGCGGCCCGCCCGCTTCCGCGGGGGGGGTTCGCAGCGACCCCGCGCGGCTCCCCTCGGTGCCCTCGAGTCGGTGTTCGACGGTCCTGGGGGCCTGGGAGGAGGAGGAGATGGAGAAGGAGGAGGAGGACAAAGAGGAGGAGGACAAGGAGGAGGAGGAGGAGGAGGAGGAGGAGGAGGACAACAAGGAGGAGGAGGAGGAGGAGGAGGAGGAGGAGGAGGAGGAGGAGGAGGAGGAGGAGGAGGAGGACAACAGGAGGAGGACAACAGGAGCGAGGAGGAGGAGGAGGAGGAGGAGGAGGAGGAGGAGGAGGAGGAGGAGGAGGAGGAGGAGGTAGGAGGGCCGCCGCCGCCGCCGCCGCCTCTAAGGAAGCAAGCGCCTCGCACGCGGCAGCCTGGGGCACCGCGGAGAAGACGGCTAGGAAGACGTTCCCTGAAACGCAGTCTGGGGACAACTTCCTGATAATTTTCTACTATGTTGGGCTGCTTCCATTTTTTATTTCTCGTCGACGATCCGCCTGTAGGGGGACGTGCCCGACCTAAACGAAGCGCCTCCGTTCTACATGCTGGAGGCCTGGGCACCGAGACCATCGAGCCCGAGCATTTTCTTTGGGTGGAGGGCAAAGGGTAAAATCTGAAACGCCGTTTCGATGGGTTTTCGAGGCTTCAATCTGCAGAAAGTGAATCACGAGACGGATCGGCTTTCAAGGTGCAAAAGCCCATACGTTCGATGTCTGTTCATGGGAGCCTTGGGCGGCGACATTGAAATCAGCTTTTCCTGTATGTGGACAGCGTGGGGGCCACATTTGGCCCATCTTCCTGCTCCTCCTCTCCCCTCCTGTTCCCTCTCCGCCTCCTCGTTCTCCTAGCCCTCACGAATCCAGTCCAAGTCTGGTCCAAATCCGGTCCAAATGTGTTCCAAATCCGGTCCAAATCAGGCCCAAATTGGACAGTGCCGGGAGCCACGCAGGTTCCCATGGAACGGACACCGAACATACGGATTTCACCCTGAGCCATCCCACCCCAAGGAAATGCTCAGCGAGCGTCGCCCCCTCGACCCGAGGAGGGGCGCGGCCTCGCCGCCCAGGGCGGGGGGCCCTGGCCGCGCCGCGGCGGAGGCACCGCCCCGAGGCCGGCGGAGGGCGCGCGGCTTGGTCTCCAGGAGGAACTCCGCGCGCCTTCCTCCTCCTCCTCGTCCTCCTCCTCCTCGTCCTCCTCCTCCTCCTCCTCGTCCTCCTCCTGCTCCTCCTCCTACCTTCTCCTCCTCCTCCTCCTCCTTTTCCTCCTCCTCCTCCTCCTCCTCCTTGTTTTCCTCCTCCTCTTCCTTATCCTCCTTGTTGCCCTCCTCATTCTCCTCCTCCTCCTCCTCCTTGCTCCTCCTGATCCTCCTCCTCCTCCTCCTCCTACTCCTTCTCCTCATCCTCCTCCTCCTCCTTCTCCTCCTCCTCCTCCTTGTTGTCCTCCTCCTCCTTCTCCGTGGTGTCCTCTTCCTCCTCCTCCTCCTCCTCCTCTTCGTGACGTTCCAGCCCACTTGAGCCCTGATCGCCGGGAGGAATGCCACGCGCCAGGAAGAGGTGCCGGAACTGGAGGGCTCTCACGTGTCGGGCTTCGGGAGGCGATCATTGCCCGACACCTCGCCAGCGTGTCGGGCACGGGCACACTCTGTTTCGATACTTTTTTGGGTGTGCTCGAGATTGCTTCTGGAGCGCGGTCCGCAAGTACGACGAGAGCAACTTAGTCCTCCGACTCGACTCTCTCAGATCTCGGTCGCTTCCAGTGTCGATGTGCCTCGACTTTGGGCGCCGAGTTCTCAGTGGAGGCCTTCCTGGCCTGACGATTGCCGCCGGTTCGACTGCTCCCGATCTGGCTGCCGACTGCCGCCGATCCGATTCGTGGAGCCCTGGGCGGAGACATTGGAGTCAGTTTGGCCCGTATCTGGACCGCATGCGGCCCTTCCTCCTGCTCCGCCCCGCCCTTCCTGTGACCCCCCCCTCCCCCTCGTTCTTCTCTCGTGTTCCGCGTGACTCAGGAGGGAAAGAAACACACAGACACAATTAATCGTCGAGTCCCAGGGAAATATGGGAAAATATGGGAATTGGGCGGGGAGACAAAGACCCAAACTATATAAGAAAATATGGGGGATCATTTTATTTGTGTGTATTTATTTGTGTGTCCCAGGGCCCCTTCAGTGACGGGGCGAGTCTGGTCCAAATCCGGTCCCAAACGTGTTCCAAATCCAATCCAAAGCAGCCCAAAAGCGGACAGCGCCGGGGGCCGCGCAGGCTCCCATGGAACTTTGGCCAACGATTTACCGACCCCAATCCAGGAGTTCTGCCCGGAACATATTGCCACTCAGAACGGGCGGCGAAACACGGAGACGCACCCTTGGGGGACTGTCCAAACGCACCCACATCGAGGATGACCGCCCCGCCCCTTCGCATCTCCCCGAGTTTGGCCCAAGATGGTTGGTCAATCCGGAAACCTCGCAAAGCCGGGGATTGGGAGGCACCCCCATCGAGGATGGACCACCCCCTTCGTATCTCCCCGAGGTTGGCTTCCCCACAGAGTCGAGGATTTGGAGACCCCCCCATCGAGGATAGACGCCCCACCTCCTCCCACATTTGGCAGCCCCACAGCGTCGAGGATTGGGAGGCACCTTCGTCGAGGACGGACGCCCCCCCATCGTATCTCCCAGAGTCTGGCCTGAGATTGCCACTCCATCTCGGAGACCCCACACAGTCGGGGGTTGGGAGGCACCCCCCTCGAGGATGGACGCCGCCCCTCCGCATCTCGCCGAGTCTGGCCCGGGATTGCTCGCCCACGTCGATTAACCCCACAGAGTCGGGGATTGCGAGGCACCCCCCTCGAGGATGGGCCCCCCCCTTTTTGTATCTCCCCGAGTTTGGCCTCGGAGCGCTGGCTCGTTCGAAGACGCAACAGAGCAGGGCACTGGAAGGCACCCCCCATCGAGGATGGGCGCGGCCCCCTCGCATCTTCCCGAGCTTGGCCTGGGATTTGCGAGCCAACTTCGAAAACCCCCAGAGAGTCGGGGATTTGGGAGGCACCTCGATCGAGGATGGACGCCCCCCCTTCGTATCTCCTCGAGTTTGTCCAGATGGTCCATTTCGAACATACCACAGAGTCGGGGATTCGCAGGCACCCCTATTAATGATGGACGCCCCTCCCCCCTCGCGTCTCCCCGAGCGTGGCTTCAGGTTGCTGGTCCACTCGGAAGCCCACAGAGTCGGGGATTTGGCAGCACCCCCATTGAGGATGGATGCCCCTGTCTTTCATATCTCCCCGAGTTTGGCTTAGGATTACTGGTCCATTCGAAAACCGCACAGAGTCGGGGAGCGGGAGGCACCCCCATCGAGGATGGACGCCCCCCCTCGTATCTCCCAGAGTTTGGCCTCAAATGTTTGGTCTATTTGGAAATCCCACCTATTCGGGGATTCGAGAAGCACTCCCACCCCCATCGAGAATGGGCGCCCCCACTGCGCGTCTCTCCGAGGTTGGCCTGAGATTGCTGGGGGAGCGGGTGGCACCCCCATCGGGGCTGGGCGCCCCCCCCCCCCCCACCCCCCAATTCGCATCTCCGCGAGTTTGGCTTGAAATTGTTGGTCCATTCGAAAACTCTACAGGGTCGGGGCATAGAAGGGAACCCCATGGAAGGATGGATGCCCCCCCCTGCGTACCCCCCCGGGTTTGGCCTCGAATTGCCAGTCCGTTTCCAAAGCCTCCGAAGGTCGGGGATCGGGAGAGATTTCCACTGAGGATGGACGCCCCCCCCTCGTAGCTCCCCGGGTTTGGCCCAACAACTGTTTGCCCGTTCGAAGACCCCACAGGGTCGGGGGCTGGAAGTCACCCCGTGTCGAGGATGGGCGCATGCATTCCCCTTCGTATCTCCCCAGGTTTGGCCTAAGATCGCTAGTCCGTTCGAAAAGCCCAACAGGTTCGGGGACTGGAAGGCACCCCCATCGAGGATAGGCACCCCCTCATCGTATTTCCCCCGGTTTGGCTTGAGAGGGGGCCTCTGGACGCCTCTTGACACCTCGGGGCCGTGCAGGCGGGGTGGCTTCCAGCGGCCCAGAGGTGGTGCGCCTTTTCGGGCGCCTTGACTGTCCTGGACGCCTTGATTGTCTTGGGGCCCGTCTTGGTGGCTTCTTGATTAGGGTAAGGAAACGGTACCGAAGAATGACATAAGCATAACAACTCTGCGGTCCGCGCGGATTTCCTGAATCCGCGCTGGACCGTCGTCCCTGGCCGCGGAGCGCGCCACGGGGCTGCGCCGGAGGCGCCGCCAGGGGGCCCCAGCGCCGATCCGAGAAATCCACGTGGGCCTTCAAGTTCTTATGCTTATGTCATCGTTCGTTCTTTTGGTGTTAGGTCGGGCCTCTCCCTCCACAGGAGGAATATCAAACAAATAATCAAAAAATAGTATGGGGACTGCTTTTTTGTATTGTGGGGCATTGTTCGAGTATTGTCTGAGTGTGTGTTTTACTTGTTCGTCGGAAATCGCCCTGTAGGGGGACGTGCCCGACTTGATCTTAGTGACTGTCTTCGAGGCCTCCCCGCCGGCCCGCTCGCAGGACGCCCACAGGGGGTCGGGGGCTGGGGCCGCCGGATCCCCCGCGGTCTCGGCTCACCGCCTCCAGCGGCCCGCCGGCCCGCGGCCGGCTCCGCCACTGCTCGCCTGAAGTCGGGCATGTCCCCCCGCAAGAGGAACTCTCCTGCAGTGGCGAAATGTCCTGGCGTGCCTGTAGGCCTACCAAACGATGTCTAAGAACCTTTTTGTGGTTTCCACGAAATGTTCTTAGAACATGTCTGGCTGGGACTGTCTTGTTTTAACACATCGGGCGAATGCTCTAAGAGCATTGTTTCTGTTCCCAGAATGTTGATGGATTCTAAGAACATTGCGTGGTAGGCTAAGAGGAATGCCAGGAGGGTCTGTCCTTGCTCAAAACATTCCAAAATAGTGAAGACAAGTCTGGAGACGTTTAGTTTAGCACTGTTTGGCTATGTTTGAGGATTTTTTGGATCTGCTTCATCTTCGTCCAAAGTCAATCAGCCTGTAGGAGACATGCCCGACCAAGGCTCGCCCTCGACCTCGAGGGCCTCGAGAGCCAGCACAGACCCCCCCCCAACGCTCTGGCCAGACCGTTTTCTGTTTCGTCCCGTGCCGGGTCCTCGTTCGGCAGAGACGGCGCCCGTTGTGTCTCTCCCGCCTCCTCCTTCGGCTCCCTCCTCGGGCCTCCTCCCCTCTTCCGAGAACCTGCTCTGCCCTTCTCCATCCCTGCATCTGCCTCTGCTCAGCCATGGGGGCAAGCTGGGTGTTTCTTGGCATGGGTTTCAAGTGTATCCCTCCTGCCGAAGACCAAGGAAAAGTGATGGCGGGGCGCCCGAGCGTGATCAACATGCAATGGGGGCCCATGCCAAGAAACACCCTGCTTGCCCCCAGGGTACCCTGGGTTTATTGGGTTTCGATAGTTTTGTGATGGAGAGCGTGACGCTCCCAAGCCAAAAATCAGGGGACGTCCTGGGGTCTCAGGGTTGGGTTTCTCGTGGAGGGTTTCTTGTGGACGGGCCTCCACTGTGTTGCCGCACAGTGTATTTCGTATTGTTTTTCCGGAACGGGATGACGGACTTGCGCGCAGCAGGCACTATGACGCCTCCCCTCGCCCCTGCTGGCAGCAAAACCACTGCCAGTGATCGCTTGGTGCCCGCGCCTGATCCAGACGTTGTGCTCGAAAGTGAACTCCGCATGGGTGTGCTCCAGGCGTGGTGGGCGGGAGTGTGGTCGTGTGGTCTTGGCTCCGGGCATGCACCGCGCACGCTGCTGCGGCATGCCGACATGGGAGTGCCCGCGGCTCGACCCAGCGCGCGATCCGATCCGATCCCATCCGCCTCCCCGCCTCGGTGGTGAGCCCCTCCGGCGCGCAGGAGATCGCCACCCGGGCCGACCCGTCGACGGGCCACTACCACCGGGTCCTGCTGCCAGGCGCCGCCCGGCGCGGCGTCGGCCGCGCCCGCCGGTGCCCCGGGCGGCTCCTTCGGGGAGTGCGGGCCCGGCGGGGCCCCCGCCGCGGGCCCTGCCTCCCGTCGTTGCTCTCAGGTCGCGCACGTCGGCCTCATATAGGCGGAGCGTGGACGACAGATCAGCAAGACTCCTGGGATAGTCAAACATCGGGTCTGATTGTTTAATTGTTTGTTTCCTCATGTCTATATTGAAGAAAAACTGCCCCTTCGATGTGCTTCGATTATGTTTTAATATATATATATATATATATATATATATTATATATATATGTGTGTGTGTGTGTGTTTTTATGCTTATAAAAAACTGTCCCTGGATGTGCTTCGATGATGGTGTAAGGTACCTCCTGAAGAGGGGCGTACCCGATTTGAGCTCTGCCTGGCAGGCCCGCGGCGCGAGGGGGCGCGAAGGCGCCCGCCGCGGCGCGGAGGCGCGGTGGGCGACGCCAGGCTCGCGCGCGAGCCCTCGCCCCCCGAGCCCCCGGGCGTGGCGGCGAGAGGTCGGGCCGCTCAGACTCGGGCCGGACGAAAGGGGGGGATTGGGAAAGGGGGGGGTGCAAAACGACGCGAAGATCGGGACAGAATCGGATCGGGATAACTCGAAATCTCTGAGAATCGGCGGGTGTGGAGGATGTATCGGGCGCCGCGGCCGCTCCAGAGCGTTCCGGAACGCTCTGAGAGCGCTCCGGAACGCTCTGGAGCGATTTATCCCGATCCTAGCCCTGTAGGTTGCGAAATTTGCTGCATGCAGCTGATTTCGGCCCCACCGAGGGGCCCATTCCTTGATACATGGGCGCCTCCCGGCGCTGGGAGGCGCCGGGAAAATCAGCTGCGTGAGCTGAGTCTCAAACCCCCCCTTGGCTATCCCCCCCTTCCGCCCGACCCGACAGACAGGAGGGGAGCTCGTGGCTAGTCTTAGGATGCTCCAACCTATTTTGGCTTTGATCACCAGGAAGAATTTTGAGCGCCCAAAGAGTATCGAAACTCACGGGTTTTCACGTGTCGACCCGGCCAAGACCCCCAGGATCACCAGGTCGGGAGTGGGGGTGCTGGCTGGGGGCGGTGGTTAGGTGTGCTGGCTTCAAAGAGGGAACAGACAGTCCGCAGCCTTTCGGGCTCCAGCCACTTCAGAGCAGGCCGCGCTCGTCACCAGAGAGGCAGCCTGCTTGGCGCTCGGACCCCACCGTCGGGGACAACGTCCGGGGGGGATGGGCTCAAGGGGGGATGGGCCCCCGGGTGGGGGCGCCAGGCTCGAGGTTCGAGGTTTACTGGGATCTCGGCGGTTTTCCAACCTGAGGATGCTCTCCAACAGCTGCGCCTCGCCGAGAGCGTTCCAGAGGCGCCCAGGTCGTCCCAAACGGCCGCCAGAGGCTCAAGGAAGGCCCGAAAGCCACAGGGACGGGGGCAGGTGCAGGGGGGATGGCATCGACCTCCAATCGCACATGCATCGCCGGCGGAGGCGTGACAGCCCACCCCGCCCAGGAGCCTGGGATTTCGCTATCCAGGGCATTTCGCGGATGTGTCGACGATGTATCTCCGATTCCAGGTCGGTGCCCCCCCCCACTTCGAGCCAGTCCCCCCCCTCGTTGCCCCTCATTTTCGGTCGCCGCACCTCCCGTCGCCATGAGCGAGCAGCAGAGAATAGCAAAGCTCGATCAGGTCCTGCAGACGGTGCCCTACCAGTACGAGAACAGGGCCGCCTTGCGCAACCACGTGGTAAACCTGCTCCAGTCGACGCCTACGCTGGTCCCGGCCGCGCAGGAGTTCAGGAGCCCTGGAAAAACGGCCACGCTGTTCTACCTCGGTGGTGTCCTGCCGATCAATTACAAGGGCGCGACCTACAACATCCCCGTCACCATCTATGCGGTCGTCTGCGGCGAGACCCGCCGTTGTGCCCGCCCAGCAGCTTGGGTGTCGATTGGCAGGACGCCGCAACGCGTGAGGGGGGTGCCTTCAGAAGACGCACTGAAACTTTGCCAGCCAGCAGTTGTGTCGGGCGCCCGAGAGGGGCGCGAAGGCAACGGCGCTCCGCGCCTCGCGGCTCGGTTCGGAGAGCGTTGGGGGGCGCCGATCTCCAGGGCGGCGGCGCCGAGGCGCGAAGGGAACCGCGCGCTGCGATGCGCAGAAGTAAGTCGACACGGCTGAGCTGCATTATCCGACAGAGAGCGGGCCGAGCGGTGATTCACTGTCCCCGGCCGCGTGGCTGAAGGGAGGTTCTGCGGTGCGGAGTGTTGCTGCTCGGTGGTGGTGGGGGTGTTGTTGTTGATGGTGGTGGTGGTGTTTTTGTTGTTGGTGTTGTTGCTGCTGCTGTTGCTGCTGTTGATGGAATTTCAGCTTCGAAAAACAAGTGTTGTGAATCCCCCCCCTCCTGTATAACCATTGCATTTGTTTAATTTGAGTGTGTTTCCGCAGGCTCGCACCCTATTTTGTACAAGGGGAAGCGAGTGACCACCAAATTGCGTTGTTGGGCCCCGACTTACAACACCATCGGTTCCCGCTTGATAGTTCCTCACCGTTTATTCCCAATGTTCCGCTCTCGCGCGCGACGCCCTCACAAGTTTCACAGGAATCGCGCTCTCGCGTGGGACTTCTCCGTAATTTCTTCAGGTGCAGCGCCCTCGACACTCAGGCTCTCGCTGTGGATGTCCTATGGATTGATTTAGGAATCGCGCTATCGCTCGAGACGTCCTCGCGATTCGTGCAGGACGCTCGCTTCAGCAACCCGACTGGACCTTGTCCCTTTTTTCCATCCGTTATTCTTCTGCCTTATAGCTCGCACGAGATCAACGTTGCAGGTGAGGAACATCTACCCCTCAGGGGGGTACGATCGAAGACGAAGCGGTCGGGTACCGAGGGTTTGGGATATACTGTTTCAATGGCACGCGGGCAGATAATAGCGAGCAGTCTTAGAATGCTTGTTGCTGTTGCCTCGCGATTCGTGCAGGACCCACGCTTCAGCAACCCTCCTGCTCGACCTGGCCGCCTGGGCCCGCCTTCCCGACCCGCCCGTCAGGGTCTACCCTCCCGATCTGCCCGTGTGGTTCTGCCACGTGTTTCTGCTCCTAGCGCCCTCTCCTGCTACTCACTCTCTCGTGCTCCATCCTCCTCCTTCCCCCTTGTCCATTCCTTCCATCCTGCCTCTCTTCCCCTGCCTCAGGGGCTGCAGGAAATCCACGTAGCTGGTAAGAAAGATATACATATATATATACACATACATACATATATACATATACATATATATATATACATCTATATACACACACCCCATGAGGGCACGATCGAAGACGAAGAGGGCGGGTATCAAGGGCTTGGGAAACACATGCTGATTGACACGCGCGCGTAGAAGAGCGAGCAGTCTTAGAACGCTGGTGTTTTATTGATGTTGCAATTGATCCGAATTGCGAAACAGTTTCTTTGGTTGGACACCCTAGAGGCGATTTGGCGCGCTCGCCTGGGCGCTGGCTGCGTGTCCTTTTCAAAAGTAGGCTCGCGCTCAGGCGCTTCAGGGTTCCACCCCACACGGCCCCCCAGCAGCCACAGCGCCCCGCCTCGATGCTCACCACCATTTTTGCCCAGACCCGGGGCTCTTGCTTGCCGCCCGAAGCAGTTTTTTCCGACCAAGCTGGCACTCCCGCTCGATAGGTTTTTTTGTGTAAAAAAACAACAAAAACAAACAACAAAACAAACTAGAGACCAGCGCTCCCGCCTCGGCGGCGCAACCAGACCCACCTACAAGCAAGGACGTTCCCGCTCGATGCTGCCTTCGTTTTGGCTCAGGACTGGCACTTTTGCTCGCCGCCGACAACGGGCCCTTCATTAAAACCATCGCTCCCGCTTGGTACTCTCTTGTTCTTTACTTAGAATAGGCGCCATTTTGTTGGCTCCGACCACCTTTCTCTTGATCACTTCGAAAGCTGGCCCTCCTCCAAAACCAGCGCCCCCGCTCGATGTTTTCTTGATATATACTCCAGACGGGCGCTTTCATCTCGGCGCCGCAGTCGGCCCACGCCTAAAACAACGACGCTTCCGCTCGACATTTCTTTTCACTTGAGGATTGGCTTTTTTGCAAGCCCACCATTAAAACCAGCGCTTCCGGTTGACTTTTTTGAATTCTATTCGGGACCAGCGCCATTTTGCTCGCGGCCGGAAGCCAGTCTTCCAACAAAGGCAGCGCTCCCGCTGTATATTTCCTTGATGTTTACCCAGAAGTAGTGGTCGCGCCTCGGCGCCTCAAACCAGATACCCCCTCCTTCTCTTCCCCTTCGTGCTCCATCATCTTGCCTCCTCCCTCCTCCCTCTTCCTCCTCCTCCTCCTCCTCCTCCCCTCCACTTCTACCTCCTCCGAGAAGCAGGCATTAGAAACGTTTTTGCGACGGCGTTGTGCCATCCGAGCCGCAGATGTTGCCGTGCTTTGGAAGAGGCGTTGGCAAGACCCCTTTGGGCGTGATATCTGGATATGGGATGATGAGACCTCCATGTGCTAGAAAAGAACCCCCCCATCATGGGGGGTAGCTATCATGATGGGTGCACGCTCTATTGAATGATTGGGCATTCGGATAGGATGATTGTTGTCGTTGCTGAACTCACTACTGAATAATTATTGCTGTCCCCCCTTCTTGATCACACTGTGTCTTTCGATTTCAAATGCTTTCACCAGGGTATGGTTGGCCCCAGGTTCAAAACAACAGCAACATCGACAACAACCGCAACTACAAGCATAATCACAACACCAACAACCATTTTGGTTTTGTTCGCTCTGATCTGCTCGAGTGTCCGTCACTGCGTAGTTCCCAGACCCTCGAGACCCGCCCTCTTCGTCTTCGATCGTACCCCTTCTGGGGGGGTATACTTCTCTTCCCTGCAGGCCGGACCCCGGCAAGCGGCGGCAGCCCGACGGCAAGAGGGACGGACAGGGGACCGACCACGACGACGACGACGACGACGACGACGACGACGACGACGGCGGCGACGACGACGACGACGAGCGAAAGCGAGAGCGAGAGCGAGAACGACGGCATGGCCACGAAGGGCACGTAGTAGGCCACGCAGGGCGACAGCGGGGGCACGAGAGGAATGCGCACGGGGCCACGAAGCGCGCGAACGAGCGGGTGCCACGAGGGGCAGATAATAATGCAGGGCCACAGGGCGCAACCACGGCGCCACAGAGGGTAACTAACAGCTGGGCCAGGCAGGACAGCGAGGGGGCCACAAACGGTGACAGCGGGGCCACGGAGGGCATGCACGTAGGGCCACGGCGGGCGCGAACGAGCGGCGGGCCACGAGAAAGGCGCGGAGTGCAAGGACGGGGCCAGTGAGGGCAGCAACGGGGCCACGCCCAGCGGGGGGGGCCACGAAGGGCTGCAACGGGCTCACGAAGGGCAGCGGGGGGGCCACGAAGGGCTGCAGCGGGGCCACGCAGGGCAGCGAGGGGGGGCACGAAGGGCTGCAACGGGGCCGCGAAGGGCAGCGAGGGGGGGGCCACGAAGGGCTGCAACGTGGCCACGAAGGGCAGCGAGATCCCGATTCCTGAATCATATGTCAGGGAGTCCTGAGCGTGAGCGCTTCTCCTGGGTGCCTGGGTGTCGGGAGCCTGGCGCTTGAGTAAGTTGCAGGAAATTTCAACGCAAGGGCGCTATTCTTTAGTAAATTGCAAACAAGTCTCCAACGAGAGCGCGACTCCAGAGCGCCGAGAGAGCGATGTTTGAATAAATTGTAAGGAAATCCCAGGCGAGAGCGCGAGTTCTACATCAAATGCGAGGAAATTTCGGGCGGGAGCGGGGGTCCTGGCTACATTGTGAGGAAGCCTCGGGGGCCAACAACACAGTTTGAAAAGAAAGACTCCCTCTGTTAAAAGCAGGGTGCGAGCGCTGGGAGGGGCACCTCACATTGAAAAAATACAGCATGCACCGGAGGCGGGGCACCAACAATAATCATTCTTCAGTAGTGAGAGTTCAACAACGGCTCCCGCCTGACATTTCCTTTCAATTTACTCAGAATCGTGGGACTTCGCTGTAATTTTCACAGGAATCGCGCTTTCGCGTTGGATTTCCTTGCAATTTCGTCAGACGTAGCGCCCTCGACACTCAAGACTCACGCTCTTGCTGTGGATGTCCTAGCGATTGATTTGGGAATGGCGCTATCGCTCGAGACGTCCTCGCGATTCATGCAGGAGGCACTGTTGAAAGCCGCCTGTTCGACCTGGCCCGATCTTCCCGACCCGCCCATTACGGTCTACCCGCCCGTATGGTGTTGCTACGTGTTTCCCGCTCCTCGCCCCCCTCCTGCCAATCCCATGTTCCGTCCCCCTCCGACCCCCTGTCCGTTCCTTGCATCTGTCCTCATATCCTTTGCCTTAGGGATTGCATGAAGTACACGTTGCAACTAAGAAAGGTCTATACCCCCAAGTGTTGGTGTTGTTGTTGGGCTCACGACGGAAGAATCATATGTGTTGTTGATCCCCCCTCCGGTAACACGTTTGTTTTCAATCGAAGTGCGGTTCGCACCTTTTTTACAAAGGGAAGTTGATGTTCCTCCAACTGCGTTGTTGGCCCCCGAAGTACAACAACAACGGTTTCCGCCTGATACTTTCGCAGGTTCTATTCCCAAGTCGCCCTGTCGCGCGAGACTTCCTCAATGTATTCAGGAGTCGCGCTCTCGCGTGGGACTTCCTCGCAATTGATTCAGACGCGCGCCCTCGACATTCAGTAGTCACGCTCTCGTTGTGGATTTCCTCACGATTGATTTGGGAATCGAGCTGTCGCTTGAGTTTCTCTCGCGATTCATGCAGGACGCACGCTTCAGCAAACCGCCAGCTCGACCTGGCCGCCAGGGTCCGCCTTCCCGACCCGCTTGTCCCTGGGGCGTGGCTTAAATGAG